TAACCCTAACCCTAACCCTAACCCTAACCCTAACCCTAACCCTAACCCTAACCCTAACCCTAACCCTAACCCTAACCCTAACCCTAACCCTAACCGGGTTCGTCGGGTTGGCTGGGTTGACCGGGTTGGCAGGGTTAATCGAAATTATTAAATTTTTACGGTTAATTACTTATTTAGTTTATTGTAATATAAGGCGCAGTATGGGTTAGCAATGTTTAACGAAGCCTATGGCAAAGTGCCGACATGCTCGGGACACAGCGGCAATCCGGATGTGCTAATTGGGCCGGTAATGCCCGGAGGTCCATGTCTATCCAGTCCATCTTTCCTCCCTCGCTCATCCCGCTCATCCACCGCATCTCTCGGCGTTGTACGGCTTTCACCGATGAACGTTGCACTCGGACTACAGTTGCACCGCCAGCAACATGCCGCTGTCTTTAACATGTCCACAGCGGTGCTTCTCGGTGCTGTGGCTTTCGCTCATGCAGGTCGCGCTCGGGCCGGAGTTGTACTGGTGGTCAACCGATTGTTCACAGGCGCGACAGGGCTGCCTGTCGGGTTCGAGGGGGTTGTTTGTCATTTTGGTTGCCTTTTTACGTTACAATCTCGGTTATTGGTTTTCGGGGTATTTCGAATGGTTGTTCATTACTACCTAGGTATATCGTAGGATATATGGCTTAATAGCGACAGAGACATTGTCACTCATAAACCCTACCCATTACAATGACAACAGCAGCGACAGCGACATCATAATAGGTATGGCTCATGAGCGACAGCTATATCAACGGGGACATGATGACCAGTATCCATCAATAGCAACAATAACAACGACAGCAATATCACAATCAATGCGCGATGTATACGTAGAGTCTTACCTTACATGTAAATCCCACAGAAGGGTTATTCTTCTATTTAGTCAGGAGTTGCGGGAAGACTCTAATGCGATACTACAGGTGACTATCCAGGTAAGCCCTCCTTAGCAGAAAGCCCATCGACAGTCCTCTCATCGACTTTATACCTGTCAGGGTATAAGTGGGTAGGGGTATCTACAGGGGTCTATCTACTATACTAGCGAAAAGGTCCTATTTGCTTCACTCTATATTCCATGCCGAATACGATGATGATGAGAACGTTTACGTTTATTGTGTTGTATGCTATCTAGCTAGATACATATAACGTCGCTTCCATGCCGTATAGAATCTACCAATTCTAACAATGCTCACTCCTTTCCGTCGAATGCTTTCTGAAAACAGCGCAATATAGAGCTGCTGGCCCGCCGGGCAGATCAAAGCTTAGTAAATCGCGAAAAATTCGGCACGCTCGTCTTGGCCCTTAGCTATCCGCGGCAAAGATGATATGAAGCGCGGAGAGGCTTTCAAGTCGACACGCTGTATAGGGACCATGTTCCCGCGCCATCGTCGGGCGTGTGTCGAACGAAAATGCTGCTTCTAACAACACGTCCACGTTAGTGGCGCTCTAAAGTTCAAGAGTACTTCCCGAGCGAAACAGAGCTAGAGTCCCGAATGATCATGAAGAGAAAAGCCCGAGTTGACATCTCCAGTTGACATCTCCAGTGGACGTTGGTTTAATTTCCCTCGTTATCGATGTTACCTTCATCTTCCTCGCCGTCGCCGTTGCCGTCTTCGTTTCCTTTGTCGTCGAATTTCAAGCTGGGGAACATACCAGTTGTCAAACTTGCAAGGTCTTCGAGCCTAGCAAGATGAGCCTTGGCGTGCTCTATTCGCGTGTTAGCCTTCTCTTTAGCATCGGCAAGCATGTGCGAAAGCCGCTGGGTGTTGCGGGATAGCTCGCGAAGTTTCTTGACGGCATCCCTCAACTCCTCGTTGGTCATGTATTCGTTCTTGATGGTCTCCAAAGTCGCCTTGTAGATATCTCTGTTATTTCTGACTTCTATCGACTTCTTCATGTTCTCTGTGAACCAAGGCCGCTTAACCCAGACGTGCTTCTGCATCTCGTCGTAGACGGCCGTCTTCTTTTCCCGGGTCGTGTTGGTACCTGGCTGAATGACGTTAAGTCCGTTCAGAGAGATCAGCGATTGTGCCAACACCGTTACTAAAACCTCAGCCAAGGAAATTTGGGTCTCTTCCCAAACCATGACGATGGGAACCCCGTGTACGAGGACGTTGAGCCCCGAATAGCGAGCGCATGAGATTAGCAGCCTGAGGGCGTGAGATGACGTGTCCAAACTGTTAAAATCAGGGTCGTGCTGGAGCATCCTCTTGGGTACCCCCATTCCGCAGCCGATGTATACCGGGCTCGAAAGCTGACGCACGTTTCCGTCAAAGTCGGGATTCACGCGCCTGCCGAGCATCTCTATCAGTTCTTCAATGTTCTTGGTACCCTTACGACCTGACATGCATTTCGGCGCGACGTATCTTTCCTCGTCTTCGCTGTGCCATTCCTGATCTTCGGGGAGGACCGTGTTGTCGATGGCCAAGGCCCTTTTTAGATGCCACTCTTCCTCGTCCGTTAGGCCTTCCTGATCAAACGAATATTTGATCTTTATCCAAGCTTCGCAGCCGGCCTTGTACTCTCTCATGTGGCCGATCACCACTTCGATCTCGTCGCGGGTCAAAAATTCGCCGCGCTTCTCGTCGATAGAGATCCCTATCAGGTAGGCTCCAGCACCGTGAGAGTCGTACACGCACTCCCAGTTGGGTAAATCCCTATCGTAGAGATCGTACGGCAGCGTGCCCAGCAATAACGACCTTAGGACCTTTCTGTGTATGGTATGGAACAGAACTCGGAGGTTTTTATATTCGGAAGTCCCCTTTTCTTCGAAAAGCCCGATAGCTTTGCTAGACGGGATGACGTCTTGTTCTTGCCACTCTTTGGCCATCTCTATGACCAACCCGAATAGTTCGTCGAAGCTGGCGTCGTCGTCTATCTTGTCGACCATTCGTTTTGAGAGTTTGCTCACGACGGGAATCTGTGCGCTGATGACAGGTTTGATCTTGTCGGAATCCATGGTGCCTTGGTGGACGTGGTAGAACAGAGAGCCTAATATGATGTATGGTTGGATTGGATGTCGTAAAGCTTAATGCTGTCAAGCTGCATCAAGTAGTTGAGGGTTTCAAAGTGGGTGGTTGATGGTTTATTTTTGATGGTATGTGGTATCAAGTTGTTGGTAGTTTTGTAATTGGGTTGTTTTTGGCCTGTTGTGTTGGTAGCGAGAACTTATCGGGAAGTATACGTGTCACCAAGATATCCAACGATAACTTAGAGAGGAGTAGAGACTTTGTGACTTTGATTCATCGCAGTATGTATTGTTTTGTGACCCCATACAGAAAACCTTTAACCACCATAATAATTTGGGTCACAGAATTTATGCCTACGAGCAGAGACTTTCTGACCCTAATATAAGTACCTATGTATGTATTGATTTGTGACAGCATACACAAAACCTTCAACCACTATAATAACTCAGGTCATAGAATTTAAGGCTTGTAAGACTGGTAGGTTCATAACTTCAGACGCAGTTCTCGCTATAATATCTAATATCAACCAAACGGTAGAGTACCATAGATATAATAGCTTGTATCATTCTCATAGTCACCCTACCACAACCTAGAGCGACAAAGCTGTTGCGTCACTACATCATGCCTCCCAAAACCGAAATCCCGAAACAAAAGAAATTCGAAGAATTCGCATGGAGACCCTACCGACTAAACCCGACGCCATCGCAGAACGAAAGAGATCTCAAGGACATCGACCTACCTCAATGAATAATATGCAAAGGCCATGGAGAGAGTCCAAACCTGGGCGCAGGTAGCCACATGCTATTATTATCTGAGAAGCTGGATTCCAACTCAAATCGTATGTTGGAGCCCCTTTAGAACTGACGAGCCACGGCCGGAGAATAAAGTCTCGACATACCTAAGCAGAAACTGTGTGACCCCTTATATAGGTAGGGTAGATATGTATTTGACCTTATATACAAAACGTCCAACCACCATAGCGACTTGGGTCACAGAATCTATGCCTAAGAGCAGAAAATTTGTAACCCTAACGTATGTATGTATGTATTATTTTGTGACCCCCTACACAAAATCTTCAACCATCATAACAACTTAGGTTACAGAATTCATGCCTCAGAGCAGAAACTTTATAACCCCTACATAAGTACATATGTATAGTTGTGTAACCTATATCATAAACTCTCCATCAATCACGTTGCCGATTAAGGTCATAAAATATCTTAAGCACGCACAGTTATGCTGTAGCTTATGCGCGCAATAATTGAAGATTTGCGTCGGATGGATTAGGAAGGGTATTAGGAAGTAGGAAGAGACTGGTTTGGGACATTGAAAGGGGTCGATGATTTTGTGACCTTCGCATAGGTACTGGCCGTGATTGATTTGTGACCCAGCCCCACAACCTCTAATTACCTTACCAACTGGGGTCACAAAATATGCTGTTGACTTAACTGACAAATCTATACCATGGCAGCTTATACGTACATAATGAAGATTTGGGCAAGTAAGGAAAGGTAGAGATTCTGTGACCTTTACATACTACTGCAAGTGTTATTTTGTGACCCCACGCCGAACTTTCAACCACCTGTCAGATTAGTCAGCCATGTCAGGTGACCTGAAAATCCCTAGTCTCATGAAAAATAGCGGTGTAACACACGTTCCCACGATTTTACCTCGATCAATCAGATCATCATGAATATCATCAATTAGACCTCATATATCGCCTATTTAGTACGTATTAGTTGTGTGACACCACCTTACTAACTGGGGTCACAAAATCTATATCCTTACTACGGCTTACGAGTCACGATTACAGAGTTGGCAAGGCCATGGCACATATAGGGGACAGGAACTTGCTATATTGATCTATCTACTATGAAGACGCGCCGCCTATAGTAGGCTTCATAGTTCTCGCCGGTGATTCCGGTAGAACTATCTGCGAACACGAGCCGCAACGGTTACACTCCTGTCTTTCTACGGACACGGGCCGTAATGTGCTGCCACCTCTTTAGCAACGAAAGAAACTGTTGGGGTAAATGGTAAATTAGCTTAGACCACTGCCAGTGACGGGGTTTGTCTTGATGGCAAGTGTCTCTGTGGACATGCCACGAAAAGTTAGTAAAATGCCGGAGTCGAACCGACTGGTGCCTATGCCACAGATTGGGCGAGACGTGAAACCAGGATATAGGTTAGGTTATGGCTTCATTATCATTATCTTCATATTATATTATACTTACTACTTGATGGTGGCTATATTGCCACATCACATTTACATTGGTTTGCGGCTAACAAACCAGAGAAGAAAAAGAGTGATGAGAATGGTAGGTGATAGTTCAGGCCGGGTTTGACCTGACCTATGGCGATACTCTTGCATTCGTATCATCTGCCATAGTGACGTCTAACGAAGCCTTTTGACGTTGCGTGACTGACGACGGATTGTGTCCTTTGGCCTTTGCCACCTTCCGTGGAGGACGAGAATCCTGCTGCTGCGGAACGGGAGCCTGAGGCTGCGGAACGGGAGCCTGAGGCTGCGGAATGGTAGCCTGAGGTTGCGGGAAAGGGGGTTGAGTTGACCATCCAGCTTGAGACGGTGCCCCAAATTGAGCAGCCTGGAGATACTGCCTTGCTTGCGCTTTATACTCTTTTTCGGCCTGCCTTGATGCGGCACTAAAGGCACTAAAGTCGCCGCCGGTCGTGGCTGCGAGCCCGCTGAGGGCGGCGGGAGCGCTGTTAGGATCGACGATTACTTGAGCTTGTGGGTTCTGGTAGTCCCAGGCCTCAAGTGTGGCAATGGCTTCTGGTTGGTTAAACAGAACCACGGCGCCGGGGCGCGTCCACGGCATGACTAGTTCGGCAGGGTTGACTTTGCCCTCCCGGATAAATTGCAAAGCTAGGTTGTAGACTTTGCAGTCGGAGCGTATCATGCACTTGCCCGCTCGCCTGAGCACGAGAAACTTGAACCTGTCCCAGTCGTTCAGGCTGGACTGGTTGTGACAAAGATCGAAGCGGTGCTCCTTCGTGTTGCAAATTGGGCAGCCGAAGATGTCGCCCCATCTTTTATGAATTGGCCACACGCAATCCGCGAGAACGTGAGTATCCTTATGGCAGTTTGCGCAAAGGATGCGATCGTCCGCCTTTCGTTTTTGGCCTGTTAGGACGATATCGTTTTTGAATGGTAGCAGCCTGAGGCCGACGTGTTCTGCCATGATCTGGGCAGGATCTGGCTTGGGCTGCGTTATAAACAACGCCAGGGTTTTGGTATCTGGTGAGTGAGTGGATATGTAACGATTTGCTATTGTTTTGAGACCGCTGGTCCTAGTGAAATACCCGCTCCATATTTCTTGATTGTTGCCTTTCTTAGGATCGGCTGGTTGGATTAGGATAGAGTTTTCCTCAACTCTTTTGGTTTTCTTGTTCACCAGGCCTTCTGGGGTTACATCGATAGCAGTAGTAAACCCCGACTGGTACCGAGGGTTTTTGTTCTGCCAGTGTTCACGTCGTTCCTCTGCGGTAAAACGACTGTTCCGCGGGGCCACTTGATCGGCGCCCGGCCCTGCTTGGTTAGAGCCGGTAAAGTTAAATACACCGGTTTTGTTGTTATTCCCACCTCCGAATGTGAACGAAGGCTGTTGGGATTGGTTGTTGCCGACGGCATTGCCGGCATTGCTTGGCTGTGGATGCGTGAAGAATGGGTTGGGCTGATTGCCGCTGGTCTGGTTGGGATTGCTGCTGCTCGACATTTTGATTAATGGCGACGACAGGAAATTGATGGTTAATGGTTTGATAGAGATCTGTGTGATGGATGTGATGGAATTTGATGGCTGCGTAGTGCGAGTGTGATGGTATGCGTAGTTGGCGAAAGGATGTTGAAGGGGAAATTAAAATTCGTATTGTGCGCGGAGGTGGGTTGGTTTATTTTGACGACGACGTGTTGTGTGATAGCCTACCTAACCCTACCTGCAAGCCAACCCCCTTTAGGCACTCTGCTTAGCTATTGTGCATATTTATATGTACCTACGAACCACCAAGCAGACACTTTAACAACTGCAGTTTAGCTCACATTTCTGGGCTAGCAACCATGACACAAATTAAAGCATAACACAACGTCCTCTATTATACCTTATGTGATGAATAGGGGTACATAACACACCGTACAATACATATGATATCTCGAATATGCCACCTAACCTCACTTGGGTAGATACTACTGCCTTACCATATGAGCGTGCAGGTCGATAGCTGGTATATTAATTTAATGCTATTGTCGTTGTTGATCTCGGTCAACCATCCGTCATACCTTAGGAATGGCGGTGGCGGTGGTCTTCTGGCAAAGCAGAAGTAGATAATATGTTCAACTTGTTAGAATTTACGGCGTGACTAGCGTTCTCGATGTGACATCTATGGTAAAGGATATGTTTGGTACGTATAGCTGTAAGCTCTTGTAGTTAGGTTACAGTTTAGCGAGGTTGTTTCCATGCTGTTTAGTTCCCTCCCGATAGAGCGTGGTAGTTAATGAAATGAACCTGTGAGGCATTTGCTGAAAGATGCGGTATATGAGCTGTATGTTGTATATTGACTTGGTCTATTAACTGTATGAATGAGTAGGGAGTTTCTTCTCATACAATCCATACCAAATACCACGTACTATGTGCAGTCCCTTGACCACTCACTTCAACAGCATTCCAAACACTTTGTACCTGATTCTTATGCCGGGTGTTTGGAATTTGGAATGTATCAAGACCCCTAGCCTAAAGCCAGTGCACCCAGATGCGTGAGTCTAACGGTCAGTGAATTTCAGCTTCTTTATTGCTGCGCATGCTATCGCTTCCAAAGTATTACCACCTCCCCGTATTCCTATAACATCTTATAAGTACAGTACGTGAAGGATATCCAGTTTGAGTTAGTTACATACCAAGTCTTTACTTGTTAGAAAGAGAACCGCAGTGGTAAAGGAAATATTTCCATATACAGTACACAGCATCTAGTATCTCGGCGTAGAATGTGTACCTCTTCATTGGTTCATACAGATTGGCAAACCGACTCGTCGTATCGTTCAGCATAACCCATCTCAGTTAGATTTCCAAGTCCCAGCGTAGTGTCAGTAAGACTATGTTTTTCGGAGATTGCAGGGTTGACACCCCCTTTTTCTCCCAACCTTGACCGCGGAGCTATAGTAGAAATCGGTCTGTAATCAGTGTAATACTAGCAAGTTTATGATGTAATATCCATACTTTCGTTGACTTCACAAAAGTAAGTATCGTTTAGAAGGCTTTCTATCCGTTCTGTTTATTCCATTATCCCATTTTATGTCACTCGACGTGGTCAGCAGGACCCTTTATTTCATTCAGAGTATAGTGCTATGATTAGCTGCTTGGGGCCTTTGGCGAGGTTCTAGCTGTTGAAGTGGTAAAGCCATACTTTGTAGGAGATACCAACTCCGGTTCAGTAGCTTAAGGAGGACAGTTTATACATTCTGTTTACTTTGGAATTGTTTTATACGCCACACTTAGGATCAGGCTGCAGACAAGGAATAAACATGAAAGTTGTAAGCAGATTCAGGTATTACGAAGCGAGAATCACATATCATACTCGTTTGGGGCTATTAAGTATGAGACTCTTAAGTATTTGGTTCAAGTACAGGGCTCGATCATTGCATGGCATAGGGCGTTATCCCTAAACGAATACCTGCAGCGCATAAACCATCACCAAGAAACCACAACATTTTACCCCTCGAGCAGTCGTTCGCCTCTTAAGCTAGATAACATACAGAAATAAATCAAACAGTCCTCTTACCATACACATAAAATTTACAGGCGAACATCCCATATTCCATCATCACAGGTTTCGACGAGAAGGGAGGGGGCTTGTAACTCTCTACGATACCAAAATCCTACTAGAATCCTACTTTCTATTCATCATACAAGCAGCTCGAATCATAGATCCGAATTCTACGCGTCAACTTCAACATGCCTCCTCGACAAAGAAACCAGCAAACACAAGAAAATTTCCACGTCCCGAATGATATGCAAAAAGTTGCAGATGATCAGCCCGCGCTACCAGCCATCCTAAAGTCGGCCCACGACTTCGTTCACCGCAATAGACCCCCTTTAACAGCTCAACAGATACAAGCGCTAATTCCTAGCGCCCAGATGGACTCCACGTGGACGCAGCAAGACGAGCTCGCTCCGCAGCAAGCCTAGAACAATGACCCGTTCAAGCCGCATCTGTTAAACAGCAAAGGTAACAAGCACCTGGCTCCTCTGTAGCAATACACGCTCTGGTTCATGGGATTTACCGCCCAGGAGATTGTCGGACCTCGATTCAACCTCGCGTACGACGCTTCGTCGAACCGGATAATTCACCTAGGAGAGGGACTTTGAAGTTAGACCGATTTAATGACCAACCATCGATAATTTATGAGCATTCTTTTCATTTTGAATCCTTAAAGATAAATCATTAAGCTGTTCATACCGCTCGTATGTAGATACAGGGGTCAGGAATATGTGCCGTTTTAATTGTTTACACCAAGCTTTATTTACGAGTCGTCCGATCTATCGTTTTACGTGGTGATGGAGATGCTATCGTGAGGTAGAGTGCTAAGATACGGTCGGTGAGCTGTATGCTGTATTAAAGTACTTATCAAAGTTGCCTACATCATTTCAATCGTAAAGACTGCCAAACATAAGTGAGGCCCCGGGTCGAAGAACTCCAACGCTTTAAAGAGAAGACGAAGAAGATATGGACCATTTAAAAACGGGCCCGTGGCCAGAATGGCACATTAAACCACAGCAAAACAATCTAGTACCCATTAGTTCATGTGCATTCTTTGTTGTATAGGGAGCTAGATCACGAATTTCAATATCGCGATGATGTTCTGGGTTGGACTTTCTAGATCCTACATACCATACGATATGTCACGAGGTGGAACCAAACAGCATAGAAACAACTTCGGCATTTTATAAGGAAGTATAATTAACCCAACTACATAAGCCTGCGGCGATACATATTGAGCATGTTCTTTGCTGCAGATGTCTCATCTAGAATCCTAACAGCCAAGGCTTGACGTTCTGTAATAATGACGGTAGCCGGACCAATTATCACATGCAAAGCAGGCTATGATCTTTCGCAGTGCTTAGAAACTAGGCCTTTAGAAATAACGCTGTTCTTGCACTTGTTTCTCAAGTTGATGTCCTCTTCAAATTCCAGGACTACATGGCCCGGGCTGTTGCGGTAAGAGTTGTTATAGTACGAGCTGTGGCAGAGATGGGAGACTTTCAGCTTGTCCGCGGCTCCTCTTTATAGCGTGTCGAGGAAGTCTATCTTCAGCTAATTGCAATACTTACATCCGAGTCATGTTAAATAGAGTATGAGACTTGTCGATGAATATCATCTTTGCCAGTTTGACCAGAACCGTTTCGCTTAACTCGGCATGAAATATCGGAACTTCTGTGAAACATCGATCCGAAATCGATGTGCAGATGTTTTACTTCAATTGGGCCCCGTCTAGTGCGTTCAATTGTTCTACGACTTCCCAAAGACATTTGTCTGCGTCTTTGAGGCCGTGTTCGCATGGCAGGTTCTGCGCGATGGACTAAAAGGTTAGCCGACTACTCCGCTACTTTGCAAGACCAAGGGACGAAGAGGTTACCTACAAAATGATTGACACGTTCGTCTTCGTCGTTCCAAGGTAGGTCGCTGGAGAGGACAACGAATGAAGTTGAAGCCCAATCCATATTAAATGAGAATCTCTCGGTACGATTTCCAGAAATAAAAAGTTCTTACCGACTTCTTCGTTGCATGAGCTGCCTAGTGCTTCGTAGACTGCTGTGTATGCTGTCGGGTGGGCTGCATTCGATTCTGGTTAGAGATAAATCAACTGTATGAATGAGGGGTCCTTCTTATATACATTCAATGACAAGATACCATGTACTATACTTAAAAGTAACCCTTTCAACAGCTGTTTATTCCCATTAGAACTTGTAGGTATCGAAGGAGCACGGCTGATAAAGTTCAAAAATTCGCTCGACTACTGCAAAAGACTTGATACGCGTAACAAAGTTAGATGGTAAAGGCAGGGGCCACACCAAACCGAAACGAGAGGCATTGGGCTTGCTTGAATGGCATTACGAGATCGGCGGCTAGGAGGGTGCGCATGGGTGATTGGGAAGTTGTCATGAAAGATACAGCGATTGAAACTTGGTGTTTAAACTACATAACAGGATTAGACTTCCGATTAATCCTTGCATCGGCACCTTCACTTCAACCCCTTCTGACTTCCCGTATAATGTAGTTTAATTACTGTACCGCAACGCGAGTGCGTTCGAATTCCACTGTGGTCGGCCGAATGGTACGACTCGGGTTTTTCCTTAGGCACCGCCGGCCGCTGAGGGTGTTCCCATCTCGTTATAAGAAGGCCTTTCGACGGTTTTTCTCCTGATCAAAGTCGGCTACCTGGCCCTGGCCCTGGCGCCAACCAGATAGGGGCTGGGGATAGGAAGTGGAGGATCCCCCGTGTCAGGCGAAACTCCAGCACTGTTTCCCTCGAAGGAGGTACTCTAGACGTCTAAATTGCTACTTAGCTTATAGCCACCAATAGACATCGACGTTATCATCATCATCATCAGTTTGATTACATGGACCACGCCTTCACATCAATCCAAAGAGATATCTAGAATATAGTAGGGTTCTATGTAAGATTGTAGCATAATTGTAAATAGAATGATAGAAGATACAACAATGATATGTAACGACGGAACCAATATCAAACTCATATTTTCCATTCGCCAATCCGCAATTTAAGAAAGGAAAGAGTATCCCAGGCAGGCGATCATACTACGACGCCGCTCGTAATCGTAACCCGCAATGGAGGCATTCATAACCGGCCTATAAGTCGCCATCTAACAACAGCTTAGCTACTCTATCTAGACCAAATAACTTCCCGACTACCAACTCAAGTCTGCTCAATAGGGTTACAGACCGCCTACCAGGGCAAAACACCCCCGTCAAGATCCACTATCCCGTTCTTCTCGATGTCAGCATCCCTCTTCCCTAGGACGATATCCGCCCGAGCTGCGGCTGGCTCCTTGGGGCCTCTAGCACCCCCTTTGAGACGCATCTCGCGGCCCTTCTCTCGGATCAAGTTAGTGACGCACCAGCCAGGGTTGAAGGCGAGAACCTTGCAACCCCACTCGGCAAAGTTGAATCGGTGGCAAGCCGCCAACATATTAAGCGCCGCCTTGGATATGCGGTAAGAGTCCCCGCGGACGCTTCGGTGTTCGTATTCCGGGTCCAGTCGAGAGGTCGCTGAGCCCTGTTCCGAAGATACGTAAATTATGTATGGATTCGCAGACTTCTTCAAGAGTGGCTCTAGTGCTTCTGTCACCATCACCTGGCCAAAGAGATTGGTCTCCAAAGTCCCACGAAGAGCAGTTATTTGGTCGATTGGCAATCAGAACGCCGGCGTTGTTCATCAGCACATCCAGCTTTCCAAACTGAATTTCGATTTGCTGTCTAGCCGCGCCGATAGATTTTTGGTCCGTCACGTCGATTTGAATCACGGATATTGGACCCTTTAAGAGTTCTTGCGAATCGACTGTAACTTATTTAAAGCCTTTTAACCCTTCTCTACGGAGCGGCTGCCGAGTAGGATGTGAAAATCGGCCGACGTATTTTCTAAAGCAGCAACAGTTTCGTAACCGATCCCGCTGCTAGCCCCTAAACTAAGATCGGTCTCTTATTGGTGTTCTTATATCGAGTGACCTACCGGTGACTAGAATGATGGTCTTATTGGAAGCCATCATGAGTTACTACTGCTTGATGTTAAGTTGAAATAACTAGATCTACGTTTGTAACTGATATGATGAAGTGGACAAGCCTGGGGATATGTTGATTCGTACCAGACATATCTTAATGTTGAGGTGGAGATAATTTAAACTACCTAATGTATAAAGTCCGTTAACTGAGAACTGGTACCTCACGCGCATCTTTCAACATCACGTCTGAGTATTTACGAGCCATGTTACGCCCGAGCTTCCCATTTATTAAGGGTAAACTGGTGCTTTCGTACTCCAGTTGCCTACTAAGGGGTAAGGTGTGTGGTATTTACCCCTTCTAAAAGGCTAATGCTATTTAGTGATTTGTTATTAATGGCTCCCCGGAGATCGCCGCGTCATATTTTATATTGCAAGCATGTCGTGATGCCGTATGGTGTGGAATGCTGATTTGGTTTGGGCCGCATCTGCCTATCGGGATGATGCTGAGATGACAGCTTAAATTCTCAGTATATTGCAGGCTAAATTCACTTCTTAATATATTCACTACTTTTAATCATAATGTCCAGATTCCGGGACTAAAATCAACATCACTGAATCTTCATACACACTACGCTGTATTCTTCGGCGGAGATAAGGTGTTCGGATAAGTCAAACCACCCTTACTGGGGCCACCCTAGTGGGGGCCACCCATTTCCCATACAAAATCAACAACTTCGCATGTCTATAATTAATTCAAAAAAAATAGATAAAAATATACAATCTCTTATATTTTACTTTTCGATCATTATAATAACTTATATACATTTTATCATATTTAAAATCTAATATTTTAATAATAAAATAGTAAAGTGTATTTTTAATGTTATTTTTAAAATTTTTAAAATTTTAATTTTATATGGGAATTTCATCAAATTACCATAAAACCTTATAAACGCTTATAACTTCTCAGATAAATAAGTTATATAACTGGCCTTAGATTTTAAAGTTGTATTAAAACGTCCCTTATTTAACAATACAAATTTTACATTTATACCATATTAATTGGTAAAATTATACGCAATAATATCCCTTAACAGCTTTACATATAAATTTATATATGTAATTGTTAATGTATACTCTTATATTCATTTTACCACAAATATTAGCCCTGCCATTTTTTCAAAATTTTATACCTGGTAAAAGTCAATACCGTACTCAAAATTAAAGACCGTATAATTTTATCTATTTTCTTGAATTAAATACAGATATGCGAAATCGTTGATTTTGTATGGGAAATGGGTGGCCCCCACTAGGGTGGCCCCAGTAAGGGTGGTTTGACTTATTCCTTCATTGTCCGAGTCCGAGAAGATAAGCGTCCGCAGGTATGGTCAGGTTAATGGACGAATGTATGATACAAGCATTTAAAGACATAAACTGGAATATTCATTTGGAGTTTAACTACATAGTGCGCCTTAGATAACGTAGTGTTGGTTCGTGGCGTATTAAAGTGGTTTGGTGACTGCATCATACGGCTCTATGTCTGTTTACAGCTTTAGAGATATCGGCAATGTTCCCATTTATCATTTAAGGGAGTTTCAGCACGACTAGTATTTATTTACTCTAAATTATTTTGAAGTTGTCGTTTGAGTAATGATCGGAATTTTAAGGTATTAAATACCATCCCGGGACGCACTAATACCACCCACAAGTCATCGATAGAAATCAAATTTGACCTTTAATCCCGTGAAAACTTAGTTGTTGCTAGTTTTACTAAACCACTAGCATGAATTCCTTTCGGGAATACCAAGTAGCGAATTAGACCCTTTTGTGAATGAACTCATCCGCGCTGTAATGATTGATTTTAAGCAAATAGTGTTGATCAGGGTACGATCTCAGTTCGACATTATGAGGCCTCTCGACCCAAAGAAATTAGTTTCAGCGTAGATCAAACCAGCTTAAATCTTCCAATCGCCAAACCGTGTTCATAAGAACTGAATTACCAAATTATACTCGGCAATGATTCAGGTTGGGAAGCTTTACGATATTATCACATGATATGACAAGTATACTGGTGGTTATTTAACGATCCAAAATGCTAATATAAGTGAATACAAGGCTAAACAAAGAAGATAGCAAAGTTGGTGCTCCGGACCCTGGAGGCTAACATATTAGTCGGCTTCCGGCTTACCGGGGTATATCATCCGAGGTGCGAATATGGTACTTCGTACGGCGGACCTTATTGATTAGGTCTTAATGCACAATTGCTTTTATCTGGCCATAATTAGTTGTACTTGATTCGTTAGTAACCTTAAAGATCGTGCGTTGTCCTAATTATTTCCAATATTATATCTAGGTAGGTTTCAGCGATGGGCAGTTTCCGAACTCTAGCCGACATGATCCGGCTCTCTAAACGTCAAGTTGCACCATGAAGCCCGATAGAGAGTTCAAAGTTATAATCGCCGACGGCGGCGTTGCCGGCCTCGCTCTCGCCAATACGTTGAGGATGTTTGGGTTAAACTATAATACCCTCTTAGAATCTCACTCGAATATCGCACCCCAAGTAGGTGCCAGCGTCGGTCTATTTCCTAACGGCCTACGAATCCTCGACCAGATAGGATTCTATGAGCAGATTCTCGAGGTATTCAAAGGTGATGATCTCTACGGAAGGTCGTACATACGAGATAAGAACGGTAAGACCCTCTCCAGCCTCTATAATGTGAGTGGACATTTGGAACGGCGGTACCTATCCCGAGACACATGACGCCGCAGGATAAACCCTAACGGTTATCGCAGACACGATTATAGGCAGCTCTTCTTCGATAGGCAGGGGCTCTTCCAAATTTTATATCATCATCTCGAGCACAAGGACCAATTGCTGCTGAATAAGAAAGTTGCTACCGCCAGCCCTGACGGATGGCGGTGTTAGAGTTACATGTGCGGACGGCTCGGTATACGACGGCACTCTTCTCGTCGGTGCTGATGGTGTCCGCAGCGCTGTCTGGCCCATTATGGTTGCCCTTGGCAATAAGATACGGCCGGGCTCGTTCGATCCGAAAGAGCAGGACGAGATTCCTTGCTTTACAAATGCAGCTTTGGTATTATATCAAGACTAATGATGCAATCAAAGTTGGACTGGCCGTGGTAGCTGGAGAATTTTTCGTTGGTCTAGGTGCTACTTGGGCAGGTTTGTGGTATTGGCGAGAGGAAAAGCTAGCCAGCTTGGATACACGGGGGAAGGGAGAGAGCGAAAAGCAAGATAACTTATGATTCTCAAAATTCATCTACAACTCATGAGCAATCAAGAATACACCGGCCCACTCCAGGAGACTATTCAGACTGGAAAATACGTAGACAATTCAAACCAATTATACTTGTCTTATGGAAAGTTCCTCATTGCCACCTAAGAAATGAAAGTCGTGCGTAATGAAAATCTCAATGTTTGTTTATATACTAGATATCTTTATTTACGAGGGTGAATACGCAGACCTATATAGGTACATCGATAATCATCCACATAGAGGCGAGTCTTCGATTACCCAATATCAATGATGCGCATGCCGGTATACTCAACTTACTTGATTAATCGATATGCAGCGCCCTTTTGCGCGCGAAGAGGTAGTTACGCAATTCGAACACATCTCTACCATGAAGATTCAAAAGCTCATTTTGTTTTCTTCTTTAGCCGCTCAACTTTTTGATCGTGTCTCGTTTCTTCGCGTAATATTTTGATGCAGAAAACAAAAAGTACCAAGCCTAAGCACCACTAATAATCATATTCAGGGTGAGGTTGCTTAGTCAGGTAGTAAGAAATGCATAGTTAATTATAGCAAGGTCACGTGTATGACGGTCATACTGAGTCAATCGCAATCAGAACCAACGACGCTTCTATCATTTTACAGATTCGCGAATAAATCATAGAGGCTAGCTGCTTGAGGATAGAATTAAATGCGACGACGGCTATACCATCGAATATAAATATGGCTAAAGACGCTCGTTGCCTGATGTGTATAATAGATATTCCGGCATGGACGTTTGATTCAAAACATAGAGGCTCGAAATAAAACTCTTTAGATGACACCAATAGTTTCAAATACGACATCTACTAACGCTGGATCGCGAACCGGAAACGAGATGAAGGACTTTCCAGATTACTCCTTACCGCGAGGCGTCCATGCCGTCCCGCGCGAGTTCTTAGACACGCGACCCGATGATAAACTCGACAATGATATCATGCACCCGAGGCCCGTCTCGAGCGAGAAGAATGTCTGGTTCTTCTGGCACGCGGGCTACGAGATGATGCATCCGTACACAAAACGCAACGTGCGTGCCTGGCATCGGCGCCTGTCGAAGCGCGGCTGGACGGTGCGGGTTCTTGACCGCGCGCCGGGCTCGCTTTCTAACGTGGCTAATTTTCTTGACGTCTCGGATCCGCACACGTTCCCGCGCGCATTTATCGAGTCTACTATCGGCGGCCGCTACGCCATGCAGCACGTGTCTGATCTCGTGCGGTGGCCGCTGCTGCTTCGGTACGGCGGCATGTATGCGGACGTCGGTCTGATGCAGATCGGAGACCTAGATAGGCTGTGGAACGAAACTATCGCCAATCCTGACTCGCCCTTTGAGGTACTCTCATACAACCTAAACGGCGGCTTAGCCAACTATTTTCTTGCGTCGCGCCCGGGAAATGCCTTTTTTGACAGGTGTCACCGGCTATTTCTTGCTCTTTGGGCCGAAGACGGCGGGAAGACGAGCACCGACGGGATGCATGCCAGCCCGCTGCTCAAGGGTGTCCCGCTTATGAGAAGTTCGGCTACGATTAAGGAAGACGGAAAGATTATCGGGACCGACGAGCTGCAGAAGATGTTGAGCGACTATATCGCCCAGGGCCAGGCGACGTCGATGGTCATGGGCTTAGTCGACGACGAGGACGGATGGGACGGGCCACGCTACGTTTCGGAGCATATATACGCCGTTGATTATATGGAAGGGTCTCAGCTGATCAACGAAATTACTGGTTGGGATGGAAAGAAGGCGTTCCATCTCATGTCTCTCCTCCTCCCGAAGCGCGGCGAAGCGGAAAGCGCCGAGCAGAAACAGGCGCGAGAGATTCTAGAGGCTTGTTTGCGGAGGAGCTTCGGATTCAAGCTCGCGCACGGCTTGATCATAAGGGTATTCAAACATACGCTGGGATCGCTGTGGAGAGATCATGAGGGCTCGGATGACGTGCCGGGGACCTACGCGCACTGGTTGAGACGCGGGACGGCTTACTGGAACCAAGACGAGTTGCCACCAGCTTTAGAATTTGGAGTCGTAGAACCATTTAAGAGAGGTCCTTTACTAAGGGAGAAATAGCTTGAAAATAGAAAGCCTACCTACGTTTTTAGTCCCCGGATGGTATCAGGTTTCTCATATTTACTTGGCAGGACTTTATAATTTCGACGCGGTGATTATCTTAGAGGTAAGTAGTAGACTGAAGTTGATATTAGGCCAGGACGTATCAGATTGAGATGCTTGGAAGTTTATGTTATTCCACCGTATTATGAAGTACAATTAGTTTTATTTTGGAGATGCGCAGGAACAGTTCAAGTTACAACACATAGAAATTAGAAGCCGTTGAAATCAATTAGGAAAACCCGGCGAGACTTAGGTTGCCGTCTCAAAAATCTATTATTGTGAATCTCCGTCTGGAAACTCGCTAATCACTACCTTAGGTACCTACCAACGCCGTCCCTGATCGTGGTCGTTCAGATGCATCCGTGCCTTAGTGGTAGGGAGGGTTTCCGTACCCACCTCCCCACTGCCGCTGTCCGTAAGACGAATATCCTTGCGGGGGTGGTGCTCCGTATCCTTGATCAGGATAACCCTGTGACGGTTGTGATGCGCCGTAATACGAGGCGGCTTCGCCCTGAGGCGGTGCTCCGTAGCCCTGCTGAGGATAATTTTGTTGACCGTAGCTTTGATGCTGAGGCTGTCCGCCGTAACCCTGCTGAGGAGGCTGGTGCGGTGAATAGCCGTAACCCGGGCTCGGCGCCGGATGTCCTTGAGAATGCGAAGATGTCGGACGGCTGGATCCGTAACCCGATCCCGGACGCAGCGTCTCTCCCGCGCCCATGGCGTTGAGATCTCTCGTGGCGCACTGCGACCAGAGCGAGCCGGAGGGCTTGCCGTGGCCCAGCTGCTCCATAAGTCCCCCGTCGAAGATGCCGCCGCCGTGCGAGTGGCCCTTCTGCCCCGATAAGACGTGGTTCTTACCGTTCCGTACGGAATCGGAGCCTAGCACGCGATTGAGATCGTGACGGCGCGGATGCTCGTCGGCCCACTTGCGCACGGTATTAAACATCTCGCGCTGGATCTCGACGCGCTCGTCTCGGAGGGCCGGGTGGTGGAAAGCGCGTAAGACGTCGCTGACGACCTCGTCTACCGGCACGCCAGGATTGTCCCAAGCGTAGAGAATTCGCCTAGGGATGTATTAGCACGTTGTACATATCGCCTACGAGTTTCGAGGGTATACTTACGGAACGACGTATTGCAAGATCGTCGCGGCGATTCTTCCGGCGCACGGGTTTAGAACGTTTGTGAAGTGGTCTTTAGAAAGCATAGAGTGGGTTGGGTCGGTACAGTGAGGATTCTTCCACGGCTCCAGCTGCGAGTTGGCGCTGGCGCTGATGACGCCGGAAGAGCCGTCTTTCAGCGCTTTGGTGACGGCGTTTATGATAGGCCTGACGAACGGGGCTAGCAGGCCGAGGACGAACGCGGTGAGCGTCTCGCTGATGTGCTCGAGGAGGCTCTCCAGACCGGGGATTTTAGAAATGCCTCTGTTGATCGACTTTACGATCTTGTCGCGGAATTCTAAGATGGGGTAAATCTGCTTGGAAACCTTGACGGGGTCGAAGTTCTCGCTCATTCCGGGGACGATGTTCGGGTTAGCTCGCGTGCCCGAGTACGATTGCTGCTCGTTCCGCCTCTCTTGGTCGTCGGCCATCCTCTTCAGATCGCGCGCCTCCGAAGCCATTCCGCCTCCGACGCCGGGCAGCTGGCCGACGAGAGAGATGAAATCGCCCGCGCCGAATCCGCCCCCGAATCCCCGCGCGCCGCTACCGCCCGACGGCCCAGAAGGCTGCTCCGAGTTCTTCAAGGCAATATCCAGCTGGTCGACCTCGGATTGCGTGAAGTGGTCGTTGGCTTCTCCCAGTACGGAGTGTAGAAAGTCGACGCCGCCAAAGGTACCCGTCACTAAGGGGAAGACTCGCTTGCCGCGCAGGTTGATCTCGGAATTCGATCCGCAATGAGGAAAGACCTCGTGGTAGCCGAGTTCGCGGAGGGCCAGCTCGCAGTAGTTGCTGTGAGCGCTAAAGTCCTCCATGCAGTGAAGCGCCTGGCCTAGACATCTCAAGGCTTCGCATAGATCCTCTTCCTTCCCTTTGCCGTGAGAGCCGTGGCTGTATAGCCTACCAAAGTGAACACTTCGGCCGAAGCTAAATCGGAGGTAACCGGCGCTAGTTGCCCAATTTCCCTGCTCGTTGGCGATGTAGTTCTTCATGCCGGTGTGCGGGTCGATCTCGGTCTCGACGGGAAGGACAGGCCCTCTCAGGCGCTTATCGAAAGCCCTGGCGTCCAGGCCGTCGGCGTATCCGAGAGGGTTGTCGATGTGTTCTTCCGGACGGTAAACTCCGAGGCGCTCTTCCGTGACTTCGAACTCCTCGGTAGCGTAGCCGTTGGCGAGGAACGACAGGACCCAGATAAGAACGCGGATGGTGGCGGCGTTGACTCCTTTCACGCTCCCGACGTCGATGGCCTGAGAGTAGTCGCGGAGCCAATTCCCGAAATATGTGCGCTGAACCATTAGCGTGGTCCACTTCTTTCCGTGGAGGAAAGCGATCGTCTTGAGCGTATCCTCGATATCGCCATGGCGCCAGTTGTGACCTTCTACCTGGGCGATGGAGGGGATGTTACCGGCGCCGAATGCTGCAGCTCTGCCGGGCATCGCGATCAGGATGACGGCCATGATAAGCAGCAGGCTGCCTGAGCGGAGATGGTATGAAGCCATGGCGCGTGCCGGCCTGGTGACGAAATTATCTCGATTTCCTTAACGAATAAGATATGTTTCCGACGATTAGATGAGTGACGATGAGACGTACGATGAACGGAAGAACTGGAGAGGAGGGACGGCGGGGTAGTTCTGATAGGCACAAAATATTGCCACAAAATATTGCACAATACCGGTGTAAGAATTTAGAGGAAACTTAGCGCGGTAGGAAACTGATTTCGGGAGAGGTGCCGACGGGAGCTGAAAGATACTTTCACCTGGAAGCTAAGCCTTAAGTCGCAGCATTACCATCCAATCAAGTTCTCGGTAGCCCTTAACCGGCATGGCCGCTACTGCGCCGATGAAGTCATACTGGTCGTTACTAAGTGGCTAGCTGATGTACACGGGTATTGTATGTACTATAGGTAGGTACCTAGGTAACCTTGTGTCTTATGACACATGCAAATGCGACTCGGCCTCTAATAGCCGTCGAGCATGCGAGTGCAGCCCTACGTCCGAAGATGGCTTTAGCTGAGGCTCTTGGGACACAACACAACACAACGTTACTGCGGGAGTAACAACTCGGCAGATTTCCTAATCGGGCTATATTCATAGAATAGGTACCTAGACAGTTAGAGTTGCTGCTCAACCGCAAGGGACTAAGTTTAGATACTAAACTAAGAGAACGGAAAACTAAGAGAACGTGCGAGACTACGAAGTATTTTGAATTTTCCCGGGTAGTGAGCGTCGTTAAAAATCTACAGTAGTGCAATACGTTGAATCTTCTAATCTACTTGGGTACTTTCAAATCGCAAGTATAGAATTTACTAGGCAAAGACTCGTAGGCTATTAGCGACGTATCGTAGGGTGATCTATCCGAAATGAGTCCAATTTTAAGACCGTCGAGGCACGTTTTCGTCGACTATAGGATTGTTTGGCGGGAAATCGACCGGCCGGAAACTTTATTGGCCTTGCCTTGTCTCACGTAGAACAAATTATTAAAGGCTATCCAAATGTCAACTACCTAGGTACATAGGTAAATTGTCGGGAGAGTTCGCCACGCGTCGTCTAAAGCACACCAGTGCTGAACTTTATAGATTGGCTACGAGTCCAGCTGAATAACATTCGTCGGCCGCTCTCTGGCAGCGTACGACACATAGCCGATTCTTAGTGAAGCTCGACGATAGCAAAATCAGAATCTGAAAATCAGGATCGAGATTAGGCAGGTGATAAACTCTGCAAGGGATAGGCGTGATAAGGTGATCTTGACATGGTAGATACCTGTCATAAATGATAAATCTCCAACTCCCTAGGTACTCCCTCAAATCATATTAGGTAGGCAAAGTCTACGTTAGAAAAGTGCAATTTTAGGGCAGATATCGATAGATAGATATGACCCAATATAGAACCTAAGCGATTGAAAGTTACGAAATAGGAAAGTTGACATAACCATTTATAAGCCATTATAAGCCACTATAAGCCATCTGTGGAAAATAAAGTACGCAGTTATGACCGCCCCGAGTCTTGGTATTGGCCGGGGGAGATGAGGCTCTCGGCGGACCCCACCTGATGTGCCGACCGATGGCTCTATATGTTCGGGGCTGTCACATATTAGCGACCCTCCATCTTCGATTTTATGCGGTGCGGCAGTGGTCCGCCGTTTCGGGAACGACCAACGTAAGAGGCTCTGCCGCAGGATGCATAAGCCACGCGCGAGAAATCTCCCAGCTGTCACAATGTCAACCTAAAAGAATGTGGAGGAGTTACTAATCCGGACCGAGGGGTTGCACGCAACTAGCAACTAGAACGAAAACAGTCACGATGGCGATCCTGTTATTGGTTCGGCTGCATAAGTGGCGGCGGCCTCGGTCTGGTAGCCTAAACCTGCCTCGCACGACAGTGGCCTCGACCGGTACTATCCGATGACCTTGTTAGTTTCTAGACGAGGCTCTCGGGACGATGTACGTTGCACGAGTCTACTCCTAACCACCATTTCGAGGTGGTCGCCGAGTCATAACGCGGCCGAGTTGGTTCTGCGGTAGCTGTAGCAGGTAGCAGGTACGCTGAGAGTCGCAGGGGGGGAAGGGGGGAAAGGGGGGATCGCGCCATTATGTTGGATGTGTGGATATGCGACTGTGTAACCGAGTCCGAAATTACTCGACGCCGCCATTCCTTCCAGCCTTAGGCGGTGCCTGACATATTTCTTACTGCTTAAGTGAGCTGATTTCATGCAGGATAGGATGACTACACCAACGGGTATTTACTGACAGGTCGCAACGTGCGTGCTGCTTAGGGACGTTATGGCGGATGCGGCTGGTCGATCCTGCTGCCGTGTAAACGTATTCACCGCCTCGAAAGCCGCCTTATTTCGATGAGACGCCAGCAATACGGTAAAGTTTACGCGAGATGTCAAAAATGGATTGTACCTGCAAGCGCCGATGACGAAGATGACGAAGATGACATGAAGGTAGTCCTATGGGGAACAGCAGCACAGCTGGGGTAGCCTCCAAAACGTCGGGGTCGCTGAGCGCCTCGCGAAGACGTCGGCAGAGCTCCTGGCGACGTGTGTCCTTCGCTTGCGCCCAATGGGACATCTTGCCGAGCCAGCCTCGCCGTGAAGGTCTCGCATCCGCATCTAGCAAGCATTACACCGCGTTGATCCTTCGGATGAGGAAACGCGAGGCGTTGTTTATCGTACAATGGGTGCGAATTCGCGAAAGCGTCCGATCTGGTCGATTTCAAGATCGGCTCTTCTCGTTTGCGGTTGCGGTGATACATGCGAGCTCGTTTCAGTCTGGCAGCCCGAACGGTACGAGACGGAAGCACCCCTTATTGCTCGGTAGGGATATGCGCCTTCAGATGCGAGAGTCACAGCTCACGCAAGGGATCACAGCTCGCGCAAGGGAAATCATTAGCGGGCTGACGAGAAACTATTTCGTCAACTAACACAGCCCTACGAGGCAGGTGCTTCAGGTGATTCGGATCAGCGGAATAATCGCCCGTCCTCGATCGTATGGACGGCTATGTCGTACGAGGGTTGCCTTTACGTTTGATACCCACCCTCGTGGTCTACCATCGGTGATCTTGTCAGCACCTTGCGTAATCTAGCGGGCCGTCTGCTGCTCCAAGAAATGTGCTTAGTATAGCTCCACATCGAGTGCAATGTAGGAAGCCTGAGCAGGGTATGAAAATAGATCTCCGAAGCGGACTAAGCTTCGAGAACAACTGCGTGTCGAGTTTCGCCGAGGCAATGCATGCGAAGGGTGCAGGATGATATCCGCCAAAGTCATATATAAGGAAGACTCCGGCCAGGAATTCTGTAAAAACTCGATCGCATACGACACGACCACAAGTCCTCTCAGACACTTATCTTGCGACTAATCCCTTCGAGACCGAGATTCCTATTCCGTCTTCCCACTCGACAAAACAAAACAGAGCAAAACACTCGCTCCTACTAGAAGCTACCGTTTTAACGAAAGAGATCACCGCAAGATGACGCTTACTCTTTGGAAAGATATTTCTCCTATGGGCCAGCCGCTCCGGCAGCCGTCCAGCAAGTCTCCGCACGTTCTGATCATTGGCGGCGGTGTCACTGGGTTGATATCGTAAGTCAATGCCTAGTTTCCTGATCAAATCTGTAGGTTACGATGCTAACTCTTGCGTTCTAAGGGCTTGGGTACTGCTCGATAAAGGATACCGCGTCACTATCGTCAGCAGCGCGTGGGTGAACGACGAGCAGCGCCTGACTTCGCAGATCGCGGGCGCCCTTTGGGAGTTCCCGCCGGCCGTATGCGGCCAGCACACGGACAAGATCTCGCTGGCGCACTCTAAGCATTGGTCCATGACGGCGTACCACATATGGGACGGAATTGCATCCATCCCGGCCCTGAGCGAAGCCTCCGGCGTGCGTATGATGCCGTCAGATTTCTTCTTTCCGGAGCCCGTGGAGAGCGACAAGGCCCAAGTTTCCAAGATGACAGAGATCATGGCCAGTGGCGTCAGAGGGTTCTACCGAGGAGCCGACATCATAGACGAGAGGGGAATCGACCCGTCGTACGGGGCGGTTGACGCGTACGAGCTGCTGGCGCCCGTGATCGATACCGATAAGGCCATGGTTTGGCTGACAGAGCTCGTCGAGAGCAAGGGAGCCAATCTCGTCACCGAGACGATCCGTCACGACCTGGTAGAAATCGAAGACACGCTGCGGGCTCGGTTCGAAGCTGACGCCATCGTTAACTGCACTGGCCTTCAGGCCCAAGAGCTCGCCGGCGACGAGAGCGTCTATCCTATCAGGGGTGGCCTCATCCGAGTGATCAACGACGGGACGGACTTCCCAAAAGTAGACGCGGCCCTAACTATCACGGCAGACGCGGCTCACTCCGCTAACGAGATCATCTTCCTCGTACCTAGGAACGACAACATCCTTCGTAAGCACCTGACTCCTATTCGGCTGAGATGCGCATGACCAGGGTTGCTAACTTAGACGGCAGTGATCGGCGGCATAACCGAGCCGCACGAGTGGGACTTGGACCTCACTCTAAGTACCCCCATCATCCGTAGAATGCGGGAGAGATGCGAGAGATTCCTCCCCGGCTTGGAAAATGCCAGGGTAGATCCCGAATATCCGTTCGCGCAAGGTCTGCGTCCCTTCAGAGGCCAGAACGTAAGGGTCGAGCGCGAACTCCGCAGGACGGGCAGCCGCATCGTTCATTCCTATGGGCACGGCGGCGCGGGCTGGAGTCTGTCGTTTGGCTGCGCACGAGACGTTGCAACGCTGATCGACGAGGCCCTCGAGGGGGTCCCGGCGCGACCGATGAGCGAGACGGTCTTCGAACGAAAAGCGGGGGGGTTCCAAAGGTCTACGCCGAGGCGTTGAATGATCTGATTACGTCTCTTTTTTTTTTCTTACACTTGTCTCGGCGTCGACATGATTAAAATGGAGCACGGGGAGGGCGAGCATAGGTCGGCGTATATTCCATATTCCGTAGACCAGAGTTCCTTATTCTTACATCAATTCCAATTATGTATCAGACACATCAGGTCGTATGACAACGTTGCATTATAGGAATCAAGCAGTAATCGCGAAGGAGAATCTAGCGGTGACCTATATCAAATCATCTGACCACCAATGCAGGATAGGAGCGAATAGAGTTGAAGAGCGAGAATATCTTGTAGAGAGCGTCGCTAATGACGATAGCAGTCGAATTGGTTGCTACAAGATTGGGACGGGTAGGGCTGATGGCTTACGCTCCGAACCGGCAACCAGGTATGTATTGTACCTTGTATGAGACTTATGAGTAAGCGGGTAGATATACGTGGTAGACAGCGAGGCTGTATGTATGTATAACCCTACCTACCGACGAGGTACAGTACCTGCGTCGCACGTAAGAATACCGGCCTGGCCGTAATGATCTGATAGTCTCACCGCAGAAGGGGAGTCACACGGAAAGAAACGAAGCCTAAGATTCGTATCACGTGAACACGACGATACGCGCCATGAGCTCACTTAACTGATGGCGATGCTTGGGTTGCTCGCTTGAAACGGGAACAAAAGGCGTGCGACTGGTTGGCATATCCCAAGATTCCGTCTTCGGAGATGTTTCGGTACCAACGAAGCGGGTGAGACGGGTCGACTTACTCGAGGTAAGCTTTGCGGTGAGAACGACATGTCCGTCAGGCTGGGTATGAATCCAAGCACGTACATACCGACCTTGAGAGTTGGGCACATCAAGCAGGAACTTGTAAGCTATAAGGAGCGAGGTCGCACAGATTCTCTGAGTATTTAAACACCATAGATTTCGCCCATCAAATCCAACTTGGACTAAACTGGGCCGTCTTAGGTATAATGCGGTAACTCCGACAAGATGGAAACAAAACCAATAGAATTGGAGAAAAAAAGAACCTCGCTGACTTTCATTCGGCCATGGAATTGTGATTCGAGTGCAGATCAGAGATTATTCTACCTAGGTACACATAGGTACCTACGTAAGTAACCAAACGAGTTGTTTGTTTCTGTTTCATCTTATCACTTTGGGATACGGCAATGCTATAGCCTATGTCTCATATCTCAACAAAACCTCAACGGCAAGAGAGATAGAGAGAGAGATTGATGTACACCTTGACACGGGGTATTGGCGGTTATTAGGAGGTGGGTTATGTCACATAGCTTCCATTTGTGTCGGGGGTTCGGTCCTAGGAAAGACCTGATATGAAACCGGTACGGAACCGGAATAGGTGCCTATCCCCGCTGTTTATCCCGCCGTGGACGAGATTATAAATAGCGGGCTGGCAGGAAGCTAAACTTGTCTAGTTATAGCGTTTCCCAATTCTCCATCTTTCTGCGTCATTCTGCCGAGGCATTCCCCAGGTACCTCACCGCCCGCTATGTACCCCAGTACAACACGTACATAGTACGTAGATTTCCAAGTGTTACTGTATACTACCCCGTGCACCGTCACCACACGATTCGAACATTAGGTAGATTGGGGTTAACATGTATGCGCGAATGTTGTACGGAACTCTATGGAATGAAGACGACATGACTTAGGATTGGAGAAGATTTCCGTTGAGTTTTCTTTTTTACTAAACATTTAAAATTTACCCAAGCTATGCGGTTAGACTATTGATCATGAGCAATTTAGATCTTTGTTGATAGGTACAGGTACCAACGTACATATTGGTACCTGTTTTTGAGGCGGCCTATAAGTGACTTGACAGAATAGAGACGCAAGGCCTGCTTTTATGAATGTACTTCTAATACTTGTGCACTACCTAACCTCATACGGCTCGTACTGAAAATCGAACGATACGTGACGGTTAACCCAAAGTAAGGCGGTTGCAGAAGTATTTGAGCTGGGGTGGATACGTATATTTGCGAGCCGCTAATACCTTGCACTCGGCTTAATGTACGTGCAGAACTAAGGCGAAACTCCACTAAAATGTAAACCAGAAATACCCCTAACGTTCGATTGAACCTGCCCTAACGCAGTGTAGATGCAGACTTATTAAAAGGGCGAGCCGTCGAGGACAATAGCCTGGTACGCCGTTCCGTCCAAAAACAAACCCATTTCCAACCGTTGTCGACTCGCCTATTAACCTCCTTTTTTTAACTTTACGTATTCAAATTCTTTTATTGTCTACCAGCTGGAGTGTCTCATCTCCCGGTCCCGCATTCACTTACCATCACTTATTTTTTGGCTGACAAGATGAGATTGATAATGAGTCTTGCCAATATGACCGGTGCTCTCGATTCTCTTTGATCTGGCGTCTGCCGGACCGGACGACATCTTCCAACTCATCTTCCTATCAACACTTGCACTTGAATTACGAGACACCTACTCCCCAATCTTACTTCTTAAATACTTCGCTTCTCTGCTCACGCAGCAGGGTATTAACCGGACAATTCGGAATCAACCACCGCCTCTCGCTTCCCTTGCAGAACACTCCATCAGCTCAGGCGGGCGCGAGATATGCCGTCCTGGAAAGGCCAGGATCGCGGCGAGGACTCGGAGTCCTTACCAGATCGCAAAGACGTGACCTATAGCAAAGAAAAATTTGAATCGCCTTGCGTGATGGGAGTTAGTACGGAGTCTCCCGACGTCGTTCTTCGGGAAGCATATGTTTCCGCAAAGGACATAGCTGTTGAACGGCCACTACTCCTTTCCGGCGCTCCGCCCGTCAACTTTGCCGTGGTTCTTCCTGGCTTATATCGAAGTGGCTACCCAAAGGTTGCGGATTATCCGTTCGTACGGACCCTCAAGCTTAAGACCATCGTCACCCTAGTCGGAAAAGACCTCCCGGACGGCTATCAGCAGTTTATTAAGGCGAATCGTATCAAGCACGAAATATTCGACATGGCCGGCACGAAAAAGGCCGAGATCCCTATCAAGACCATGCAGTCGATCATCTCCATCGTCAGCAATCGGGAAAACTATCCTCTGCTCATCCATTGCAATCAGGGTAAGCACCGGACAGGATGTGTCGTCGGTATCCTGCGCAAGACCAAAGAGTGGGACACGGCGAGCATTATTCGAGAGTACAGCAAATATGCGGAGCCGAAGATCAGGGAGACGGACGTCAAGTATATTACCGACTTTAAAATAGCCGATATTCCGAGAGTCGTACCCAGGCTGACCGGGGCGCCGTACGTTGTGCGGACATTTTATGGCATGGTGATGCTGGCGTCTTTTACCTTGTCGGTTTGGATGTATTCGGGCGCCAGGCTCCTAATACTCACGACGACGTAACTATCGATGGCGTCGCTTCCATGATCAGATGGTATAGAAGGTCACATTCCCACGCATGCCCAAAGAGGAAAATTCAGAATAGATACGCTCCAGTGCGATTAGACAGATTTCGTATAGATTTTGAGTATTACGCTCGGGAGAGAGGGAAGCGGGGAGCGGAGATTTGGGGTAAAAGCTACACCATATGAGGCGTTGAGAAATAAAATTGTTGGCATTTCTACGGGTTTGAGATACGGGGGGGCTGTACCGGTGGTCGGTTTAGGAGACGATCAAGAGCTGAGGTGTCTCCGGGCGTTCGATTAAGGGTTGGTTCTGACGGACAACTCCGTCGCATCTTTGATTTATTCTTTTGTCCGGGGGGTTTGTGGTTTCGGCAAGTCGTTAGGATCCAAATGATGGAATTGGAGACGCGTGGTTGCAACTAGGATGAGCTGGACAGATATTTTAAAAGAGTGCCATAAATGTTAATTAATACGGTCGCATCCAGAATTATACTTCATTCTACGGTTCGAAGAGCTTTCTTAATGTGTGACCTTGTATTCCGTACGTATTCCGCAATAAGCTCGATCTAGCTTGATATACGTAGTTACAGGTAGATATATGTACAAGCGATCTATAGACTCCCCTATGTGATATTCGTACAGTAATCGTGCTTTATTTCCTTCTTCAGCACCTTTTGTTCACGCCAGAATCCCAGCTCGCCCTTCTACTCTACCCATCGCGGGTTGCCTGTCCTCTCAGCCTTCTCCCTCTCTCGATCGCCCGTGCCATATACCCACCCCGCGGCAATAGCGTTGATGATTCCTATACCAACGGCAGAACCCCTAACTAACCCCCTAACAGAGAAGCGATTTATGAAGGTACTAGGTCGCCTTCTCATAGCGAGTAGGGCGTACGTGCCGCTGGCGGCGGCGGTGATACCTGCGCTATCGATTTTGAAGCCTTGGAGATTTGCGTAACTAGAAAAGAACAGGATAGGTACGAAAAGCATAGGTCGAATTTGCAGCGGACGAAAATGCATGGCCGTTACTAAGGTCGCGAGACCCGTGGGGGCGAATGGAGAATCTGCGGTGCGGATTAGCTACCTAGATAGCTAGCTATGTGTTCACGAAGCAGATGACACTATGTAATGTTAAGAGAAAATACGTACTTCCCCATGCTTCAAGGCGCGATCTTACGGATTTAGATGGCTCTAGCGTTGCCATGATTTAGAAGCCTTAGTATTGGCTTGATATTTTTAAGAAGTTGTCCTGATTTTGTTTTCTTGATTTAGCGTTCGGAAATGGATTAAATTCCAATAGAGGCAGAGCTTGACGTCAATGACGACGGTGAGGTTTGGTCAAACAGAGATTCTTATTATTCTATTGGATAGAGACTTGAATTATAGTGGGGTGAGTAGGATAGTGGGGGTTTACCTCCAGTTTATTAGTTACCTCCTATCAGTTTTATCAGTTGCATGTACTAGCCACAACAAACGTGGTCTAGACCTTTTGAAGCCACATATGTTTTACCTCTATCACCTATCAATTTTCTTTAGGTAACCTTAGACTCTAGAGCCCTGAGAGAATCGTGGAACTTTAGGAGTTTAAGACTTACAAGTTTGAGTCTCCCATTGTTAGCCTCAATTTTTAATTCGACAACAACTTCGGCCGCCTACGTTCCCCTAATTGGGCCTGGTCAAGTTTCGCCTCCTAGATTTTGCGCTACGTTTGTAGAACCTTTTTTATTCGTTGATAGGTTTTCGTTTCGTACATCTGTTCGTTATTTGTCATTCGTCATTCGCCATTTGTTCCGTTTACGATAGAGCGTCATCTATTCCCATCCGTCCTTCTCCGTGCTCGCTCGATCTAGATCACCTAAGCCCAGGTCGAATCAGCAACCAATACCGTACACGCAGTCGCGACTATCGCTACCCGTCCCTCCGTATCCGTCCTCCCGAGTACGGTCTCGCTCGGCCATGCCCAGCGCAACCTCTTCCGGCTTCGACGCCTCGGGCGGGTCGAGCCGATCGCGAGATCATAACCAAGGAAACCAGGAACGCAAGTGTACCCCTGAGCAGAAAGCCGCGGTCCTGCGAATCCGGCGGTGCAAGGCGACCGCCTTCTACGACATCTTAGAACTCGAAGCCGTACGGAAGACGTGCAGCGATGCCGATATCAAGAAGGCTTACCGCAAGCAATCCCTCCTCACGCACCCGGACAAGAACGGCCACGAACATGCGGACGAGGCTTTCAAGATGGTCAGCCGTGCCTTCGGCGTGCTAGGCGACAAGGAGAAGCGCGAAAAGTACGACCGCTTCGGTACCGATCCGGATAGCAGGTTTGAGAGCGCGAGGGCCCAGGCTGGCAATCCATTCAATAATTTTGGTGGTATGAGACCCGGTAGGGGGGCGGGGGCAGGATCCGGCGGGGGAGGCATGTGGGAGGACGATATCAGCCCGGAGGAAATGTTCGAGAGATTCTTTAGTGGTGCTTTTGGTGGTCCTTTCGGGGGTGAGTTACCCACCTTCTATCCTTCTCCCCCTCGAAGGATACGAACAGAGTGAAGAGAGATCTAACGCGGGCTAGGGTTCGATACGGGACCGCAGTTCGTATTTAACATCGGCGGAAACAGGGGCTTCCGCGTACACCAGATGGGAGGAGCAAATCCGCGCAGGAGACCTCGGGAAGCCGAAGGTCAGCAGCGGCCTCATACAGGCTGGGACACGCTCATCAGCCTGTTGCCGATCCTATTCCTCTTCGTGTTCCCGCTGCTGTCATCTATATTTTCGGGCGGCGAAACGCAGCCGGCAGTACCCTCGATGGTTTTCGACGCGGCCGCGCCGCCCCTAACTTACCACCGAACCACCCCCAAACTTGGCGTCGATTACTACGTTAATCCAGCTCAGGTTGTCGACTGGAACGACTACCAATTTCGTCAGTTAGATAAAGAGGCCGAGGTCGGTTTCGTGCGCGTCCTCCGCCGCCGCTGCGACACTGAGATGCGCACCAAACGCGACCTGATCGATAAGGCGCAAGGGTGGTTTTTCCCGGATCCAGACAAGATGAAGATTGCGGACCAGTTCGAGATGACATCATGTAAGCGTATGGATGCCCTGGGTATCTCGCGGTAGCACACCTCTGCAATTTGACAGTATAATTTTCGAGCGACTCGAGTATGCGAGACCTGTAGTCTAAAGACGTAGGCGAATCCGTGAGAGATTTAGTCGATATGACTACTTTGACGTTAATGAAAGGGAGCTACGCGTCGATCAGGCCAGCGGGATTTTGACAGATGCGCCAGGCGTTCAGGGGGAGAGATTGGGAATCAATAGGGTAGCATATCCTCTGCCAAGTCTAGTAGGTAGTGCGCGGCGGACGTGGGAGTTCTCATATTCGTGTTACATCCTTCATGCGATCATATAGACAGATGGGCATTCCTACGTGTGCCGCGTTTTGGGCCGGGTGTGTATTTCGTCTTGTGTAGACCGTGTTATTACTGACTTACCTACCTTGCAGCCGTGCTTGGGACGAATCTCGAAGGCACATTTGCCCTTAAGGTCACTGGATTCTCGTAGTTAGCTCCTATCAGAAGCATAATGCACTTAGACATCTTTTCTCTCGTACATTAGACGCGCAGTGAGACGGCATGGGCAGAAAGTAGTCGCCACATTTAATACTGATAACATAACACGCACATTATTCCAGTACGGCTTTGAAAGTATGTAAATCATGGTAAATTTCAACTTGCCGTGAATCTTTTAGCACATTTAAATCCCAGGGTTTCAGATTCTTGAGTTTGATTAATAGGTAAAATTGCAACATCCACGTAATAATACGTAGGCGGCTATAAAGCCTAAACAAGCGCTACAACCAGGCGGCGGCCCACGGCCTTATTAATTCGCATGGATAACGCTCGGCACGACTTGGTGTGATAGGCGGGTTTACCTTTCTCGTCCAGGCGCGAGTAAAAGCGGTCTTACTTATACTCCAAGATATACACCGTCTATCTTATTCCCCGTCGCGGATCCATGGCTTCGTTACGCCTAAAATCCCGAATCTCCTTGGTTCCTAAGCTTCCTAACCCCCCCTCGCTCCTGCGTTCCCATCCGCCGAGCCTAACTACGAGGCATGTCGCGTTGTCGCCGTCTCTGCTGACTTCGGTAGCATACGCTACAACGTCCCTAGCACCTTGCTCCGGCGTCTTCGCTTCCTTTACCACGTCCACGATCTCTTGATCGCTCAACGTTCCCGACACGCCGTCGGACATGAGGACGATGAAGCTGTACTGAGCCGGCCCCAGCTCCGTTCGCGTGATCTCCGGCTCGGCTGAGACGCCTAGACGCTTGGATGCCATGTCGCCAAACGCCCGAGAGTTGGCAAGGCCTTGAATCCGCTCTTCGCCGAACGAGTCCGTCACGAAGGATGCCGCAAACCGTCGCAGCCGGTGCGACTCGCTTGGAGAGCATGGGTGATGATCTGAAGTTAAGGGACGAGACAAACCGGTAGCAGTCTCGCACAGCAGGACGCGCGTATCGCCCACGTGCCCGACTAATAGGGTGGAGCTCGCAGCCGGGTGCCAGAACGGAGCAGGCGTCGGTGTAGAGATGAGGGTGACCGAAGCTGTCGACCCCCCTTTAAATCTTGTACGGCCGCCGATGCCCTGGCCTGACGGTGGCATGTGGTGTGGCTTCCCCAGCACCTCGTCAAAATTCAGAGCGGTATCGGCCACGTAGGGATCGTCAGGGTCAGGCTTGCGGGCTTGAGCGGCGATGAAGTCGAGATCTGCACGGAGAAAAGCGTACGTGAGAACGGACTCGACGCTAACGGGTGGTTCGGGGGAATCGGGATCTCGCTTCAGTTGAAAGTAAGGGGGGTGGAATCGCCGGAAATACCCGCCAACCGTATTCTTATATTCCTTTACCAGTTCGCTCTGTAGTTGTAGGGCCTTTGATCCCGATGCTCTGTCTGGCACGGGCTGAACACCCTCTATGGCATCGGGGTTTTCGACTTCGCGAATCGCGCCGCGCTCGTCTATTTCTGGTATGTCTACCTTGGTTGACACGGCCTCTGAACCCTTGATATCCAGCCAGTCGAGTCTCTTCTGTCCGCCAGCTTCGCTGTCTGATAAAATTGGAGCGGGCGCACTGAGAGATTCCGAATCTGGCCTATGACCCTTCCGCGCCGTTCGGAGGCTACTTTGTAGCTCGAACTCTTCGGCTGCCTCCTCGATATATCCGTGGAGCTCATCCCGTAGGAAGTCACTGCACTGGGTGCCTCCGTGACCGTCGAAAACGCCAAAGTAGAAGATCTGGGGATCCCCGTAGGGGCTATCGGCTGAAGTTCCTTCTCCCATCTTGTTCATGGTGCTGCGGACGAGGCTAATGGGGGCCCGCTTTGCGAACGCGGGGATGTCGATGGTGCCGGCCTGATTCGTGTCTTCGTTGTATGGCCTGGATCCTCTTGAATTCGCGACTCCGAAGTGGTGCTTAGCGCTGCGCAGGGGAATGCGCACGACGGTCAAGTCGCGGTTGGATGGCAGGTGAGGCGGAGACACGGGAGCCGCACCGGAAACTGCCGTGTGAGGTGCGGCGGCAGAGCGAGGTAGCTTGTGGTGAGGTCCAGCTGGGGCACGAGAGTCCGGGTGTAGCGAGGAGGACGGGAGGTGCGTGACGAAATACGTGTGAAAGCTACGCCGGACGTTGTGATGAGGCGCCGTCTTTAGAGCTCGTGACTCGACGCGGGACGAAGTGGCGTCCGCACTTTGGGGTGCTGGTACCGAGCTAGAAGGCTGTTGCGCTGCTGTGCACCTTACGACCGCTTGGCGCGCATACGTCCGCGTCTGAGTATCGAAGAATGTTGCGATGAAGCCTACCCGAAGGATATGTTAGCTAGTTTGGGACTTTGGCAGAAGCTCGAGATGCAAATGTGCAAGATCCTAGAATGTCTGACTGACCATAGGTATCGTTCAGAGACCACCGCTTCGGACGACCGCGACTAAGTCCCATCCCGACGTAGAAATGCTGGCGGAGCGGGCGGGGATTTTGCTTGTTATAAAGAGGCCTATGAGGCGTGTGATGTACCCATCGGATCGAGACGCGAAGATTCAGAAGATGTAGGAGTTGGTCGAGAAGCCCCGAAGCCGGGGGTGGAGAGATGCCCAAGGGATAAAGCACTAAGCATGCCCACCTAGTCTTCGTAATAGTCTTGTGGTAATGGTTCTAAATAAGATAACGCAGGACTCGAAAGAGGCTAGAAGCAATACTAAGTTGAGATACCAATTGGCAAAATCCTGAACGAGGATTATTTCTCAGGCGTCGACAACGTTCTTAGCCGATGTTAGGAATAACACCTATAGAGGAGAGCGCCTGTTATAGGAGAGTTGTTAGATATTATACGCAAGCTTATTTGTTGGGATTCGATGGGATGAGGCTTGAGGTTTTGGGGAAGAAATGTTGCGAGGTAGGATTGGCAAGACCGGCTTACCTGGACCGAATTATAAGAAGTTATTACCCCAACCCGACGCCTTGGACCGTTACAGGCTGGAAAGTTCCACTACATCTACCTACATCTTACTTTGCATAGGTACCTTAAGTACCTAGGTACACACATATAATTAGCCTCGCTCATCGATGTCGTTGTGGAGCGACCTAATTTATGTACATAAGGTACTAATCTAGGTGTATCTAGTGCAAGTACCTACCTAACCTAGGTTATCAGGTACATAACTATGTAGATATTGTACCTAATTGCCCGACTACCCATATAAAGACGCTTATGTGCTATGCCGTCATAGCGGACACGAGTACTAATTCCATTCCAAGAATCTATGCGGGCTATATTTCGCTTTTGGGCAGTATAATGTACGATAAGATAAAGATGATAAAGATAAAGAAATAATATGAGGGGTACGAAGGAATCTGCATTTACACGACATTGAAACAAACGAATGGCTTTTCGAGTTGCTTTTCGAGTAGACCGCTCTATCTCTCGACCTTATAAATGTACAACGGTCGATAGTCAATTAAATCAATTAGACCACGTTCTCGCCAAACTACGTTCATAAAAGACAGAAGAGAGGAGCTGGATCCTGATCCGGCAAAGATCCAAGTCTTATGTAGCATCGACCTGCAACCTGCAACCTGCACCTCTCATCTCCATCTCCACGCGGACAACACGGCAGAGACTAGTGCGCGCTCTAAACTCGTTATTGAATACATATCCCCTCCTTTAAAGTCTCCCGTTCGTATCCTCTCTTAGACATTGTCTTGGACATCACGTCTCTTACCGGGCCGGATTATGTCTATATCCAATGTCGGCTCCGTCGTCCTACACCTCGTGGTATTCGTGACAACCCTTGTCAACTTTCACTCGGCGTTAGCTCACGTCGAACCTGTCATACTCATCGCCATATACATAATCTCTAGGCTCTTCGCCAGGACCCCCGATGAATTTTGCATGTCAAAATGTCCCGAGTTCTAAGTACCCAGGTTGATGTCGAAGCAGCCATCAACGGTTATGTGACCCCCGGCGAAGACTACTTCGACCGAGGCGCCTCTTCGCCGGTTCTGTCGCTGTCGAATCGGGGTCGGGATCGGCGGGAGAAGAGGCCACCCCCGGTTCCTCTCCGCGCTCCGCCCAACGCTGATAGCCTAGCCAGGATGATCTCCAACGCTAGGAAGTCGAGAGGCGGGAAGAAGATTGGAATTCGGGATCGGATATGTTGCCATCAATGGACTTGGTTCACGATGGTACGTTTTTGATATAAAATTCATAAGGGTTGCTTCTTGCCCGCTAACGCCGATTTAGACTATGGTAAGCTGAGCTGTCAAAAACACCTGCACCCACGGGTCCTCGCAGTCTCTTCTATTAGTTCCTTGTACGCTTAACGAATTGTTGGCATAGGCAACCGGCGGCGTCGCTAACGTCCTCCATTCCGTATGGACCCCGTACCGCGCCGACTGGCTCTGGTATATTGGAATCGTCTTTTTTCTCTTTAATATATGTCTCTTCGTCATGAATTGCGTCTTGATTACGATGAGATTTATTATGGTCCCCGGAAGTTGCCTGCACTCGTTCCTAGACCAGATGGAATCTCTCTTCATCCCAGCCGTGGTAAGCTCCGTTCGTAATCTCCTCTTCGGCGTGGAGCTCATGTCTCATTCAATAACTAGGTAGTCTCGTAAGTAGCACGAAATCGTATGAGCCTCCCGTGCGCTTACCGACTACGAACGTAGTACAGCCACCATCCTGATCAACACCTGCGAATACGGAATACCCATGACCGGCCCCTGGTTGCAGCGCGTGATGGAATGGCTGTTCTGGATCTATATCGTTGTCAGTGTAGTGGCGAGCACTGGCATGTACCTGATCCTATGGTCTACTCAGTTAGTAGGCTCAGCTCCTTAAGCGTCTAGTTGTTCCTAACATATCGCACCCCCTTATAGGATCTTTCCTATCCATACCATGACGCCCGTGTGGGTTTTCCCGGGCTATCCCCTTCTCCTGTCCGCCCCGTTTGCCAGTACGCTCATAGCAGCAAACACCGCCGCTTCTGATAACCCGCCGATCGATAGGTTGGCGATCGCGATGTGCGCGATAGCGGTGCAAGGGACTGGGTTTCTCATCAGCTTTATGATATGCGCTGCGTTTATCTATCGACTTATGACTCAGAAGTTACCAAGAGATACGCAACGGCCGGGCGTCGTGAGTTCTGATGAATGGTATCTCTCGAGAAATACTGATGCTCATATAATTACCTAGTTTATTTCTATCGGACCTAGCGGCTTTACGGTAGCAGGACTAGGTAGGACTTCCTGTTTGCAGTTCGTTCCGCTGTGCAGTTATTATCTACCCAAACACTCGGGCTGACGCATAGGTAGTATCCCTTGGCCAGCAATCCCATGTCATTATCCCGGACGACTTTCAAGGCTCGACCCACAGCGTCGTGATCCTGCGACTACTCTCAACCATCGTCGGGCTATGGCTTTGGGGTCTCAGCGTGTGGTTTTTCCTGGTTTCGGTCGGCTCTCTTCTGAAGTACGCACGCCCCGAACGCAAGATGCCTTTTCAGATGACCTGGTGGTCTTTCGTATTTCCAAACACAGCGCTCGTGACTGCAACCTTAGCATTAGCCGTCGCCCTCGGTAGCACTGGACTTCGCATCACCGGCTGCGTAATGGCTGCCGCCCTAATCGTCGTCTGGGCGCTTGTCTTTGTTTCCATGTTACGATGTCTCTGGAATAGGGAGCTACTGTGGCCAAAGGAGTTAGAGAGCGAGTAAATTGGGGATAGAATACGAAGCAAATACTAGAAGAAGCTGAGCATTTTTTATCACGGCATATAGAATCCTGGCGGAGCAAGAGATTGGTTGCAGCATTTAGCTATAGTTGGAGTGATTATACCCCGTATCCGATAGAGCTCCGAGGACAAAAGAAAAATAGCCCATGCCCGGAATTCGATGGGATAGACGTAATTGGGTTATCTAAAATTTAGGTATTGTTCTATTTTCAGCGTATAAATGCCTGCCTATCAGAGCGAACGAGGAGGCGAGGTGGATATGGAATATCAGCTATGTACTTGTGATACTTAGATCATATAACACCGGCGCAGACAAACCAAGGCAGCTAGTTGATCTCTTCGATCTTAGGCCTCGCCTTCGGCTCTAAGGAAGGCAAGCTTAGAGCAGCCCCTATATCTAACCCAGCCAGCCGCGTCAGCGCAGAAGTACCCCGGTCGTTCCGGACCTCTGCAGCGGGGGGCACCAAAGTGCTCAGTTGCCAATTATGTAGGCTCTCTGCAACGTCTCTCGCGTGCTGCTGTACCAATCCATCGTTATCCGTCTGAGCTACGTACTCTAGCACGCGTGCTATATCCTGCCGGCTGGAGTCGGTTAACCCAAAACCAAGACGCTTGCCGCTCTCGCGTGCATCTGCGAGCGCCCGTACGAAGTGCAAGATGAGTATAATAGCAGATCGGCGAAGAATACCAGCCTCGGGGCCCGTATCGAGGGCGAGAACGTTAAGACACAGATCGACAGATGTCTCGACAAGAGGGGCGCCTAGCCCGGCGACGTTAGTCTCGATAGCAACCGAGAACACGGACAGCGCCGAGGTACGCATACGCACGTCCTCGGCTCCGCGTTTGCTCTCCCAACCGGATACGATCTGCGCGATGAACCCGTTGCGCACTTTCTCGTCCTCGGTCTGCTCGTCGTCGAGTTCGCTAAGGTCGGGTACCTCGCCCTGCCAAGCATCCTGCGCGGCCTTGTTCTTCATCTGCTCGAGCCGCTCTTGGCGATCTTGTTTTGCCTTGGTTTTAGGACGCTGAGCGCGCCGTCCCGCGATTGCGAGGAGCGCTTCACCTACTTGCCGTGCTATTTCGCCCGAAAAGGTCTCGCCAAGGCGCTGGACTGCTTGGAGCAATGCCTCGCCGAACCGGAGACGGGTATCGGTCGTTTCTAACTCGTTAGCGTCGACATAATGCTCCAAGATCTCCTTGGTGGTTGAGCGGGGGTGTCGGTCGGCGAGCTGAGCAAACAGCTTTACAACGGTCAAATTGATATAGTCGTCATCTTCATTTAGTAGAGATGAGAGGAGGACTAGAGTGGCTTGAATATCGAGAATAGGGCTGCTGGCTCGTATTAAGCTAGATAGCAGATTTAGACCCTCCATGCGCACTGGCGGAGGTGAGTCCGATTGTGTGATGTAGGAGATAGCCAAGTTGTAAGTCTTGCGGTCTTCAACCTGGCGATCTGTAAGCACCGTCGTCTGTTCAGACGGATCTTCTATAGCATCCCGGTACTTCAGTAGGAGGGAAAGGTTTCGAGCTGTTTGCGACACGTCGGCCGCTTGTAATTTACTTATTCTTTCGAGGGAATTCTCTATAGATGCGAGAAGATCGGCGCGGACGTTTGCTTTCTGAAAGCCGGGAGCCGTCACTACGAGATTCAGCAGGCTTAGCGCTACAGCTGTGGCGTCGTCGTTGGCCGTAGCCGACGACGTTTCAGACTCGCCTAGTATCTGGCTGACGAGTTCGAGCATTTGCTTCCAGCTCGAGACTAGCTGGCCGGATAGCTTCTCCATCATTTTCTGTAGTACTTTTGCCTCTATCAGCTGCGCTGCCGGGTCTTTCTGTTTCCCTGCGCCCGGGATTAATTTAATCTCTTGCGTAGTATCCGTAGAACCGAGCGAATCTCGTAGCAGGCTGAGGAATAGCGTAGATATATCTGAATCAGTTCCGACCGACTGCAAGAGCTCTAGAAAGGCATCCGACTTAGACCCCAAGAGTCCCAGGTTTAGCTCGATTTCTGCATCATTTGTGCCTCCCCGTAGGCGTTTTATCTGGATGTTAGAATCTCCGACCGTGTCAAATAGCCATGAAAGCTTGGACGAGCTCCTACTTCCGTTTACGAGAAGGTTGCTAAGAAGCGTTTGAAACTTCTCCGGAGAGCCCGAAATTTTGAGATATATTTTTAGGAGAGCATTCGCCGGGCTTCTATACTGCTCGTTCAACTCGCTATTCGCAGACGGCCAAGACGACAATGTCCATAGCGGCAGCATCAATGGCGTAAGCAGTCTCTTTGTCAAGCCGGGATTCGGATGCGAGTCCAGCAGAGAAGATAGGCGTCTTAGCGCGTTACGCAGATCGACCGCTTCGACGAGGATATCTTCTTTGCGTAAGTCGATAACCTCATCAGGGCTGGCACTGAATACAAGGGGTTCTCTTGTAGGCTCCTCGGACGATAGAGTAGGGTCTATCCTGGAGAGCATCGGCTCGGCAAACGCTTTCCACCCAGGTGTTCCTGAATCCTAGTGTTAGCAGATACATCTTTGCAAAAGCTTCCCTTTCCGAGTCGTACCAGGAGCCCCAAATTGCTTCCTCCCTAATACGCCGAAGCCGATCACGTAAGCGGCCGCCTTCGCAAGATCTGCGCCGTCTTTCCCGTCGAGGAGAACCAGAAGCTGGGAGGCGATTCCGGGAAACCACTGCTCCGGCGCAATGATAGCGGGTGGCGTAGACAGTAGATTAGAAGCGAGTTTGAGAGCTTCCATAGTGATATTTGCACCTTGTTTCTGAGGTGCCGCCGCCTCGGATGGTTTTACAGTGCTCGAGGGGTGAACGGAAAAGACAAATTCCAAGGTGGCCCGGACGCCGTCATGTCGTTGGGGAAGCAAGGTAAGCACATCCATCAGGTGGACTCGAAGCCATGCCGGAACACGATCGGGTTGGGTCAACTTGCTTAGAGCGGACATAAGTGCCATGGTATTGGACCTATAACATATGTTCAGAGAAGGAGAATCGAGTTACATCAGACTACCCACCTCGACAAGACGGTGCTAAGTTCCCGCTGGCCTTCCGAGCGAGATTCCCCGTCACTCTGAGGCTGAAAGGCCTTCAAAGCGGCCTTCTCGATTGCGGATTCGAGCGTACTCTTCTGGCGATCCATGATGGCGTGGCAAGGAAGTTTACAAATTCCTTTCTTCAGGCGTGAGATTAGAGAAATCTAACTCGTATTTATTAATTTTACTTGCTTACAAACTTTCATGGCATATCTAACACAAAATTTACCTAACCTAGGTTAGGTAGGTACCTTAGGTATGTATGAGCTACGTCGATATAGATCACTAAGTGAACGAGATGGATTGGAAGCTGTTGACGTTTGTGGGGTTGATAGGATAGAGTTTATGTACCTATGTACCTATGTACATACCTACATGCAGTGCCCGAGGCCCGTACATACCTACCTACCTACATAGGTACAGGGTGTACTTTAAATACATCTGTACTTCCACGGCGGGGTCAGATGACATTGTACCAAGCGCGCTCAGATGGCACGACGCGGTCTTTTAAATCCTCGCGTCCTACACTTTATTTACTTTCTTTTACTTCCACCAATCATCATTCTCCTACAGCATCCATCACCAACTTCCATCTATCCTTTATCGGAGACGAGTCTACTGCTGATATCCAACCCGAGATACAGGCTGCATCACTCTATCACATTTTATCTCCCTCGAGTTAGAGCTCTTTCGCTCGTATCTTCTTCCAGCGCGGAGTAGATTGAGCACGTACAAACCTCGCACTATGCCTCCCTTACAGTCCTCCGATTCTCATTTTCCGCAAGGAATGTCTTCGCGACCCCTCGGTTGAATCCAAGAACACCTCGTACGATACGTCGCTGCTCGAGGTCTGCCCCGATGAGCATTGCCGCGTGAGGATCGTCGTGCGAAGGTAGCCAGTCGTGCCTGGCTAACGGATCAACTGCTAGGGAATGGTGTCTCGGAACTTAACCCTAACTACCTTTTGGTTCCGAGTCTTGCGCTTATAACCTTCTAGACTCCGCTTTATAAGCTTCTCGTCGCACTGTGAAAGTCTTACCCTGCTGAAAAGTAGATTTGGCTGATCGGGACTTCGAGGGGCGGAAGGGTGGTGGTTAGATACTCCAGTCGCCTTCGGGCGCGCGAAGTGCCTTTGCTATGAGTCGTATCAAGAACTCCTGGCCCGGAGTCGCTCGTCAGCTCTGCGCCGCTGGAATTTATACTCTGATCTACGTCACCGTGCTGGTGATGCTTGTGCGGGCCGGATACGACGGAAGATGGGTTCCTTGACAGCTTGCTGCTGTTGGCCAGATGTAGCATTGACTTTCTTGGGTCGGCTATGTGCCGCTGAGGGTGATAAGGAAGAACGTGACGCTGGCTACATACAGTCGAAAATCCGGGATAATTTCATCTTCTCGCCGGTATCGTTCGCCGGAATCACTAAGCTAAGTGAGCGACGGCCGCGCGGCTACGACAGAAAGTTTCCCTGAGCCCTTCGATATCTTTACCGCCATGTCATACACTCCGGGTACCTTATCCCCTCTGGTCGCAGTCTGATCATCTGCAGTTGTTGGTGTGAAACCCGACCTTGTTTGAGCCGTCACGAATCCATCCACTCCACCTGCTCTAGCCCTACCCAACTCTCAGCACCGCATCGCGGCAGCAGCCATTGATGCGTCATTTTATGAGGTGAGATCAGGCGCATTAACCTCTTCCCGTGGGTCTTGTCCCACGACGATAGGGGACGCCAAACGTATTCGTCAGCTGCTCTCGCGGCGGTTGATGAGTATCCCTCGCCTCTGCCAGACATGGACTGAGGAGAGATGATAGCGCGACTTTTATGGATGTCTTTTGGTCGTGCGGAAATGCCCCCCTTGCTGCTTGTTAGAGCTCGTCGGGGAGGAATCAAAAACCAGTCCGCGTTGGCAATGCGTTCAACAGAAAGAGCACTTCTTGAGATCAAGATTGGTGTGCGAGGTTGATGTAACCTGCCGGTTTCAGCAGTGGACTTTGTCAATGATGGTATGGGATCGTGTGGGAAGTAGGTTCTGTGGAACTGTTGCGAGGCACACATGATTCTACAATCCGTCAAATGCCACTCGCTATAGGGGGCAAAACCGGGACCCATCTCGTGTTGGAGTCAAAGCTTAGCGCTTGTCCGGGTCTGCTCACTAAAGCGGGCAGTGTCGGTACGGGAAGTTTCAGTGTGGAAATCTTTTTTTGGATGCTGGTAAGGACAGGCCAATATGGAGGGTAGTCCTAGGTTGTCCTCTACTCGACGGGTAGAGGACAACCCCCTGCTTTAGGGATAAGTCTCGCTGCTGTCCTCGAAACATTCGTATCAGTCGCTAACATCAAGCAGGTCTCTCGTGTGCCAATAGGTCCGAGTATCTATCGTCCACTTGCTCGTAGCTAAAGCCCTCCTGCTTTGAGCGAAATCCCGAACTCTTCCGCTATGCGCTAATTTGCGAATGACATTGTCGTACACCAAATTCTTGTAGTCCATCCTTTCGTGAACGACAATATTAGTCGTTATTCTGAGTTCTGGTGACGCCCAAGTTTACCGGCAATATACCTGCCTATGAGGTGTTTACCTTTGCGCCTACTACGGTCCACTGGTCCAACATACCTAAGGTTTTACTCTCGTGTTATACTAGTCGTTCCAAAGTTGAGCAGCGGAGTATTTTCAAATATATCCTCTTTGCTTTAATTAAGCTTGCCGTATCGGACTTTTCTCATGATTCATCATGTTATGAATATCCGCGAAGCTATAATTGCGACGGTTTCCCCCGTATTACTATACATGTATGGTTGAGGCAATGGTAATGGAGTTGAAAAGGGTAGTTTACATCCATATAGGTAAGTATTACAGTCTCCCGCGGAATAGCTGCTGCATAGATGAAGCATCACAGACGTCCTATTCATAATTGACCGATGTCATTTTTATGCATTCATGGGTTAGTTATGTCGTGCCTCTGTCAATGAGAGAGAGTATGGATGTGATTGAGAAGACGTAATAGCAATTCTCTACTAGGAAGCTAGACGCTTGTGTAATGTCTGCCTCGAACGTTCAATTCATTCACTAGGACACTACAGGTCAGACGTTCGACATTCAATCTTCTCTTAGTAACTACCCTTCCATATTCATCCAAATCGGGCAGCTATTCCAACCTCCGGACACATTGATTGGATAGGCGGCGAGCAATGTTCCAAGCAATGTAACAGTGCAAAGTTTATCTAGGTCGCCTGTATCCCTTGATACAGCTAAGGGTTGACTTGGGATTAGTGGAAATCATTCACGGCCGAGATTTGGAGAATTCTGATTGATTGATAGATTTCGAGCAGCTATCTTCCGAGCCTTTTTTATCTTCATTGTGGTACATCTTCGTGTATATAACCGATGCCGATCCGATATGCAGCTTACCGGTAAACGGCACCGATTTTTATCTGGGCAGTCTGGGCACTCGGTGCCGATCAAGAGGTCATTCCAAGGAATGAATGTACCTTAATAGTTACCGCGGGGCTATGTCGAGGCATCGGCTCAGCGTCAGCAATAGAAAAATAGAAAGTCATAATATTAACAAACACTAGTCTATGCTTTCTTCTTGATTTCTCAATGTCTTTGCGTCTACGTAAATATTGGTCTCGTTCATTATGGCCAACGACGAAAAGAGGTCCTGGTCATCGCGCCTCTCCTTCTTTCGCACCAAGAGAGCCATCTTCACTTTGACCTTGATAGTTATTATATCTGCCGTATTGATCGGTGAGTTCTATTATCCGCAGGACCAAATGCCTACCTGTCCTATCATCTAACTTCTCCTTTCCATCTCAGCTCTCGGTGCCACGCGCATACTTCGACCCAAGGCAGATACCAGCGATGATGATCAGCAACCAAGCGATATTAACACTACGGCCACCGGCAATTGGAAGCCGAATAATTCCAGCAGCATCGCCGACGGCACGCCCTTGCGTATCATGTCGCTCGGCGCTTCTCTAGTTCGAGGTGAATTCTCGACCGGCGATGTCGGCTTTCGCAAGACGATGCGCGACGAATTAGTCGATCTTGGCGTCCCTGTCAATATGGTCGGCTCCCAGCGCTTCGGCGACATGCTTGATAATGATCTCGAAGCGTATGGCGGCAACCGCGTCAGCCAGATTCACGAGCATGCCACGCATATAGTACCCCAGCTGCAGCCCAACTTATTTCTCATACAGGTGGGAACAAATAATATTCTACAAAATCGAGACGTTGATAAGGCCGGCGCGCATATGGAAGATTTCATCAACTACCTATTAAATGCGTCAGCGCGGGCTACCGTCATATTCAGCACCTGCTTGACCAACACAGTTCCCGGTTGCGAGCCTAAAATCCTTGATGTCAATAAGCAGTACCGAGATGTCCTCGAGAAGTTTGATTCGAAGCCCGTTTTGCTGGCCGAGATGCATCCCAGCGAAGGCTTCCCCGACCGACCTCAGGCTGCAGACATTGGACCGGACGGTACGCACCCGACGGACTATGGATATGACCTGATGGGCCGAATCTTCACGGAGAGCATCCGGGAGGCAGACAGGAAAGGTTATCTCCGATGGCCGGTCGAAAACGGGCTCGAAAAGGACGGAGACGTAGGACGAGCCGGAGAGACTACGGCGACTCCAGAACTCCCACCCCCAACTTCTACAAGCACCAAAATCAATGCAACACGTGCCGCAACGGCTATATAGGAGTCCATCGTTGAAACCCGTAGCCAATCCCGAGCACTTCGTATACGATTTAATGCGGTGTGGATTGATCACCTATATCGCGTTAGTCGGTATATCATAATTTAACGGTGGTGCTCATTTAACGACGTAGCTCGAAGAGATGCTTCAATCTCCGAACACCCCGCAACTTGGATCGGCTAGGCACCGTCTCTGTAACGAGACTAAAGATGATTGAAATCGCGACGTCGCGTTGCTAGAGGGAGACTAGGATCTTGAAACGTAACTCCTAACCCACATTATAGGTACCTATCATAGTAATTATGTATGTAGAGTACCTTAGGTAGATACTAAGGTACCTAGTTCACACTTACATAAATCCAGCTTTTTTACGATTATCTTCCATCATGATATTAAAATCTCGCTTTGCTGTTCATCGAGTTGATGCACAGGTGCCTACCTAATTGTTGTTCATAATTACATGTATTTTCAATATGAATAACCATTTCAGCAAACTAAATTCTCACCGAGTTATCGAGGCCGATAAATCTCGAACGGACGCTAATACGACTCCCTGTCCCTCTGGAGCGTCTCAGACTTGGCCGAAACAACAAGGGTTACAATACCCACCAGTTATGATATATGTGCTATAGGGTTACATACGCGAATTTCCATATAGTTTCGATCGTTCGCTATCCCATAAAACCAACATCTTGTACTGATCTCCACGATCTACAACTTTCTTTTCTCATACCTCTTGGCTTCGACCGACCCTACTAATAAAACCTGTAAATAATCGATTCCCCCGTGTAGATCACGATGGAATCTCAAAAGGCCAAATACGCAAACTTACGTCCCGTGGACGATCGCGATGACTCGAGGTCCAGCACCGAAGTCGAGGATTCTCTGATGGGTGATGAGAAGCGGTGGCACGACGTAGAGCTAAACAGGCCGACGACGCGGGCGGGGAGGCTAAGCAGATTCGTCACTGCCTTTAAATCGGCGAGATGGGTCATCGATACGGGCTTACTGCTGATTATACTGGCGCTCTTAATTCGAGACCAGTCGCGCCGGCCGGCAGCGGAAGAAAAAGAAGTCAACCCGTGGCAGTTCGGCCAAGACCTAACAGGAGTTGGCCCTAGATGTAAGCTTGACTCGGTTACCAGCTGATAGCCTCTTGACCAAATCTAACAGACTCTAGTTTCTCAAAGAATCACGACGTTTGAGAGAGATGAATCGTACGCGCCGAATAACACGGCAGAGTTTTTCACGGATAAGGTATTACAGAGGTGGAATGATCTGATGCCAAGTAAGTATTCGCGACGATTCCATATTCCGGGAATTCTGCTAACCATCGGATAGAGGGTATGGGGTTCGTATGGGTGAATGATACGCAAAAGTACCATGATCTTCCAACACCCATTGAGTGGCCGGATAAGACCGTCTTTACGACGTCGGCGACGCATCAATTGCACTGTCTCGTAAGTTGCCTGCTAACTCGTCCACGCCCCTGGAAAATCGGTAGTATCAAAATCTAACTATCTATCAACAACAGTTTGCCATTGTCCAGACGTACTCGGGCTTAACCTCGGGTCACGAAGTACCAGGCGACCATCACTGGCATATGATCCACTGCTTCGACTACATGAGACAAGCCATCATGTGCAGTTCTGACATGGCCTTGGAAGGTCTCGAGACGACATTTCCGGACCACAATGGGGGTTCCGACGGTTGGGACTCTAAGCACGGTAAGCCCCAATGCATTTCATCACATTCCGTATCGGATACTAATCGTTAAAAAAGTGTGCCGGGATTGGAGCGATGTCAAGTCATATCTAGAGAGCGTGCGAGCATATGATGACCAGCTAATATACTGATTTTTTTTTTGTTTCGTATAAGCGATGATGAGCGGTTGGAGTTAGGCGTAGGATCCCAGGATAGCTGTCAAATTATTATCTGCATTATGAGTGTCAAAAGAAACCGTAAAGGTTATTAGATATATGGCATATATGGCAAATTGCTTGCTACGCTTGAGCTATTTAGCGATCTTTAAAGGTGTACAATAATTATCTGCCTACGCAAGTTGCCTACACGAATTACCTATGCAAATCGCCTGTGTGAACGTTGGCCTCTAAACCACATAATTAGACATATTTCGGATGCACACATCCATGTGTATCGCAAACTCTCCCTCCGCCCGCTTCTCCTCTTCAACGACGAGCATCTCAACTTATTTCTTCCTCTGCTCTTGTTCTTTAGCGGCCTCCTCGGGGTAGCACACGGGGCAGGTTTCGTCGATGACCGGGGAGATCGGGTGGCCGCTCTTTGTCATGATGCTGTTAGTAATGCGTGTAGGATGGTAGCCTTGACCCTGCAAGCCGAGTTTTGCAGCCAGACACTTCTTCACCACTGATCTAGTATGGCGACTATGCACCGGGTTCTTGCACCTTCTATAGTCTTCTACGGTACTCTCGCACATCTTGACTGACTTCAAGTATGGATGAATAGGGGAAATATCTGGGTACAGCTTGTTAACGGCAGGTGGTCTTTACAGAGAGCTGAAAGATTGTGTAGAAACTTAATAGCAAATGGAAAACTTTCTAATGACTAGAAATCTGGCTGCGAATACAATCTACCGGCGCGTATGCCGTTATAAACATTGGGTTTCTTTAGCAATAACCTTGATATCTCACAAAGACATTGTGCACTGCAGCATTTCACCTTTGCAGCCCAGTTTAACTAATTTGGTAGTTATTAGATTTCATTCAACTAGGATACTAAGCGGCTTTCTATGTCTCTTATAGTTATCCCTGTCCTTTTAGCTGGCTCTTGTTGCGACCTTTTAATTTTTGTTCTCATGTTTTTCTCGCCACTTAGCTGACTGCGAGCTGTACTGAGAGATTCAGCCTCGCCTACGTAGCTCACAGCACAGCAGGTAAGTATGTATGACAATCGAAGCATTGCAGTAAAGTACCAGGAGAACAAAGCACTCTTCGAACTCTACAATGACAAAAGAGACTAGCTGTTCCGTTTCCAAACATAGTACAAAGTATTCTTAGATACTCTGACAATACTCGTTAGACTATGGAAAATTTCCCCGGGAAGACAGCATGTACAAGCAAAGCTTTGTCTCGATCAAGAACCGCACGTAGCTCATTTTTGCATTTGTCAACCTTGAATTAATTATGCTATGAAGCTTTAATGTACAGCGACTATAGATCACGAGCAATTCGAGCAACTATCAACACCTACTAGTTAATAAAGGGGTTGGGGGGTTAAAGAGAAAAACCTAACGCCGTGACGATGTCATATTATAGTGCTACTTGGAGAGAGACATCATCTTAAATGTATTACTACCTACCTACCTACATATGTATGCATGAATCTGAAGCAGTACTAAGAATAACTCGACATTCTAGACCTGTGGTTTGCTGATTGCTGATACATGTAGCCAACGATGTCAAAATTTAAAGTTGAATTTAAAGACAAAGTTTCGAGGGTTTGCATTGCGGAATTTATTAGCAATGTAGGTTAGGTAGTTCTTGCTGATTCTTACCTCCTTTTATGCTTTTTGAAGGATACATGTGACATGTGAATGGCTAGAGATATTGGGACCGTGCATGATACACTAGATGTAGCCGGCGACTTAGCCCCTGAGCGCTGTGTATTGCCGGATATCTTACATACCTAGGTAGGTACCTACCTGAGGTACTTCAATTGTGTGCATGTGGCCAAGAATTCCGTGAAATAGAGGTAAAGTACCCAATGGCAGCCACAATTGCATCCTACAGCTCCATTGGTACAGTACATGTACTTAAGATGTGATAAAGACTGTATGTACATACCTAGGTTAGATGGGTAAGCGGGTAGGTACGTAAGCCGCTAAATGGCCGCTAGTAAGGGACGACAGGTACAATACTGCTAACGCGTTCCTCGGGCCATGCGCCACAGTAGAGACGCGGAATTTTGGCCGATCCAGACGTCAAAGAATTTCTGGCCTGAACCCTGAATATCTGAACTAAACTAATAACCTCAACTTATCTGCGAAACCAAGTAAGAACTACAGAATAATAGAAGTACTTACTACCACTTTCCTTTGCCTAAGAAGTTTATCTCTTTATCTACCTAGGTACTTCGGGCATTCGGAGTTCCAAGTCTTCAATTTGGTCTTGCGTTACAAATCCCGTGCCGCCTTGTCCTTTTGCCGCCTTGCCGCTCTGCCCTATCAGACCAGACCAGACCAGACCAAACTTGACTCGGCTGTGCATTATCCTACCTCCCTTTCCTCCTCTGTTCCCTCTGGTGCGACTGTGCGAGGGAAAGACGACAGGAACGCAGGGGGAGAGGTTCGAGCGAAAATGCAATGTCGTATCCACCGGCCAAGCGACAGCGATCCAACACGTCGCGAGATTCCGTCAACGGCAACCCGCAGACCACGGCTCCCGCCCTGCGACATCACCCAATTCAGGGTATCAACGTGTACTCGCCCACGGGCTATGAGAATGGCGGCTATCCCCTCCAACCCGCCGCACGCCAGACCGCTGCCTATAACCCCTACTCTCCTGGTGCGGTGACGAATTCGGCTGGCGGATACGGCGGAGCGTACCAGACCTCGTCAACAGGCTACAGTGCCGGTCCGTACAGCCCCCAACAGCAGGCTAACACCTTCGCGGCTCACTACTCTCAACCGTCTACGAACGGCCACATGACGTCTCATGCTACACACTTTAATGAAATTCGGAATGGGAACTTCGCCGAGACACAGGCACAAGCACAAGCACAAGCACAGACGCAGACGCTCTTACAGGGACAGTCACCGCAGACGGCCGCGGGTGGAACGTATTCGCCCGTACCGACAAATCACCATATCGCGAACTATAACCAGCAACAACGTACTAACCCCCCGACGTCCACAATACCACAGCATCCATCACAGTACGGGGAGCCGTACACTTCCCAACTCACAGGGCATGCCACGTCGTATCATGCCAGCACCAATTCCTATTCGGATGCTCCTACCTTGAATCCCCACTTTAACCCGGCCCATCTAGCAAGCCCGGCTCCTCTATCGACTTCTGCAACCCAGAACGGAAATGGTCATACTCCCGACGATGTCATGCAGGAGGATGACGACGAGGAAGAGGATGCGCAAGGAGAGACGGCAGACGAGTCGACAGATGTAAGGAGCAGCAATAAAAAAATTACTCAGGGGCCTATATAGGGATTATAGAATGCTAACGCACGCCTTGTAGGTTTACACGAATCCCAATCCGCCGAACGGGTCTATATCGTCCATACAGTCGGTTCCCACGCCGCCGATCGATGCGTCATCCAGAGGCGGCCAACGAATTAAAAAGTGCTCCTGTAAGACGGGACGCGGAGACAAGAAGGCCTGCGTGTTTTGCGTCTGCAGTAAGCATGGACTTGGTTGCACTCCGACCTGCTCGTGCGGCGACGCGTGTGCGAACCCCTTTGCGGACCTGACGCAATTCTTCGGCCCGCCGTCTACGTTCCCGAAACCCTGCGGTGCCAATGCATGCTTTGCCACTTGGCTCTGTAACCAACCGAACGTCGAGGAGCTGGATGTAGATCTGATAATAGACATACTGTTGTACGACGACACGTCGTGGGCGACCATCAAGGAATATGCGGAGCCGTTCAAGAAGTGGGAGGATAGTTGGAAGCGGACCCGCGGAGGTAAGAGGAAGAAGAGTCGCGAGGAGCGCGAGCGCCTGGAATTCGAGCTGCTCCGCGGCGCGCTAGGTAACTGTAACCAGAACGACTTCTACGGCTACTGGTATAGTTTTTGTCGAGGCGGCTGGGTGGTGACCGATCTCTGGGACCATTGCCAGGAGTGCCGCGTCTGCAAGCCCAGCGCGGAATGGCACTGCGACAAACATAATCGCTGCACGTCAGAACGCGTCTGTCCCGATTGCGCATCAATTGCGCCGTACCCGAACATGATGTCTTCGTATCCGGATCCCGGTAGTTAGTCCGGTCTCGTTCTATACGAGAGAGAGGGTACATCGTTTTCTTAGTCTTTATCAACGTTTTGGGGGGTGGAAATTGGACGGACATAGACAGCGTGCGTTAAGGATACATAACGGTATTTGCTATAGCTTACTCGCGTATATCTTGCATTTGTAGCGAGAGTGCGTGCGTTGGCACGGAAACATACGGAAACATACGAGGATTTCGGACAAAAGACAGATCGATCAGTTAGGGATGCGTACCTATGTATAAGAACTAAACCCAACATTATCAATACCAAGGGCGTGGCTTGGGACTAAACCCCAGCTAATATTGTCACCATCTAGCTCGCCGCTGTGCGTCTAAAGTTCCGTTATGCCTGGTATCGATATTTCCCGGCTGTCGATGTCGATGTCTTGAACCCCCAGTAGTCCTATAGACCTGATGAGCGATACCTAGAATTTGACTCGAATACCCTAGGTATAGGTACTTAAACTTCTATGTCGACAAGACAAGAGCTAAAAAAAAAATGAGGAAACGACTGATCCAGATCTCTTCCATTCAGCACAGATTGACTACCTATATAGCATACGTATTTTAGGTAACCACCAACCAGTTTATACCTACCATAAGGCCTTGTTTAAATTATTCGTCATAAGGGTATTATAACGCGTATTCCGCGCACAGCGGCAATGTCTAGCTACATTAACTATTAACTACGACGCCGGGCGGATCTTTTTACGTCGACGGACTACTCGAGCCCAGCTACTTCTTATGACGACGGGGGCTTGTTGTTAGTCCGAAGACTCGTGAATAAAGGTCCTAAGGATCTCTTTCAATCTTTATGATCAACTTCTCGATCTCAACCCTATCTTGCGGACCTCTGGGATTTCTAGTTTCGGGAAAATGCGGCCTAGTTACGGGATTTAGTGACATCAAACTTCATCCGTATTTGTTAGTTACTAGGTTAATCATAATTAAATTCTCCGAGTTCGTTAGTAACTTTAAACGTATAGTAAAAATCCATTAAACGTATAACATATCCACTTTCACGTAAAATAACTCAATATACCACCACCCACCTAATTTATATTAAGATTAACATCGCTCTTTAACAAATTCGTAATTTTATTTAATTATATTATAATATCTATATTTAATTAAATATAAAATTTAAATTAAAACTATCACCACCTTTTCGATAAGTTAACAAATAACAGCCTTAATAACAGCCCTAACATAACTACCTTAATAATAATATACACAATAATATACAATTCCTTCATCTCTAACGCTAGCACTAGCAAAGCCTAATATCGCATTCAACTTCCACGAGTTATAAAACTTACAAGGCTATCAACAATAATCTCGAAAGCCTTCCCAACAACCTTAACAACTCCAATAGCCTATAATTCAACGGTAACAGGCGCCTATTATCCTTTCTTAACAACCTACAAAATAGCAAAATTAATAGCCAAATTAATATAACCAATTAAATTAATAGCCTTAACCTCTATATTATTACCTTAATTAAATATATAAGCCTATAACTTATATATACGTATTAAATTTAATTATAAATATATTAATTTTTATTTATTTAAATTTTATATTTAATTAAATATAAATATTACAATACAATTAGATAAAACTACAAATTTATTAAAAAACAATACTAATCTTAATACAAATTAAATAGGTAATAGTATATCGAACTATTTCACGTAAAAGTAAATGTGCTATACGTTTAGTGGATTTTTACTATACGTTTAAAATTACTGGAGTTCGTGGATGCCATAGCTATTACCCCGATACTATACCGAATCTCAGCGGCTTACAATGTCCTTTCGTGCTGACAAATTTCTGAGTGATAGTATGTAAGTATAATTAATGACATATGAACAACCAAGAGAACAACCAAGAGCAAGGCTAAAAAGTGCTTGGTTAATAAGATGCAGTTAACATGCTTCGATCCGTCCATCTCGAAAAGGGAATGAACCGGAGGTTGACAGAGCCTGGTATGTGGTAGCAGCATGCAGATCTGCGACCCATGTCGCGATGCGCTCCTCTCTCGCAAGGGTATATCCTGGGTAACTAGGCTTAGGCCTGGTAGGTGGAGTTTAGGGATGGCTTGACATGCGTCCTATCTATTACGCACGTGCATGCACCAAGATCTCGCCAGCTCCTGTATCTATATATTAGTTGTGATCTGGAAGGGAGAAACCAGGTAGGTATACAGGACCTAGACGTGGCTCGGCACGACTAGGGTGATTAGGTGGAGGTAGGAGATGCGACATCAGTCGAATCCTGTCTATAAGATGATTTACTCGGCTCACCTAGAATTTTGATAATGCTACCCAACAGACAAGGTTTTATGTGTTCTGAGAAAATCCTTTCGGCCGAACCGCCGCCACGGGTCGCGTGGTAGGCTGACTTGTTAGCCACGTTAGGATTATGGGCGTTGGTCCGCCTGCTTTTTCTAATGGCCAATAAGGGGGATTTTTACGTTGAAGGTTGGTCTTCGTATTGATCAAATAGGGTATGGTTTAGGCATTCGTAATGCACTATATATGAAAAGAAAGAGGGATTTTGCACAAACGACAGCAAGGCAATCAGGGAAACGTTTCTACGGGTTCGGTACATATCTCTAGATCCCCCCCCGGGTAGCTATCATAAGAGATATGCACCTTAGAATATATGAATAGAACATTAGGTCAACGTACGTCTGCGGACATAATGAATATACCGACCTCGGTGTCAAGCTGCCAGAATGTATATAGATTGGTATATTACCTGTACCTGCCTATTAAAACGTCTTATGAGAGCAAATACATCAGACACCAACCTAATGGGTGCATAGTTAAGTAAATCAGTGTTGGATATTCCACATCCCGAAGTGGATGAGCCGATATATATCTCTCACATGGAAGTTGCGTATGTTGAAATTACTAATGAAGTCGGCAAGTAACGGTGAGCTTACATCCCAGGTAGGTAGGGACCAACACCGTACGTAATTTCTTAGATTTTATACCTTAAATGGCCCTTTAAGATGTATGGTTAAGAAACGAGGGCCCTAATATCGACCAACACTCGAGCCTAGGGCGTGGAAGAGAGTACATGGGAGATGTAAGTCTTGCCTGCACATGTTTCCATTATCTGACCCTTGTATTATTGTATTATCGTATTTTCTTCGTCCAGCATCGAGCATATCTATTATCCAAAATTGGCTGATAAAATCAAGATTGGGTGGTTTGGTGAGCCGGCCCAACTCGGAGTCCTCACAGATATGAATGATACGCAGGTCAAGTACGACCTATCCGGATCTCCGCTTTTATATCTTCCATGCGAGCTGGTCGTGCATACTGCGTCGTATCTTTCCCTAGACGACCTGTTCAGCCTGCGTTTGACATGTCGTCGTGTCGAGACGTTCCTGTTCGAAACCTTCTCGGTCGAATTCTTTTCTGATAGACGTTTTATGGTTAATGAATGGTGAGCACCTAGGAATACCTAGTGGTCCTATACGAACTTATGTACATTTGTTAAGCCTATCTGATATCATAATTAACCATGCTGTAGTACGTGTTGCACGCCTACCTTAGGTAATTTGGCACGTAGTCTCCGGAGGAGATAATAAGGGACTACGATCCTCTTTGTCCTTTACGGCACCCTATATAACCCTTTCTATATGTTTTCGTACACCTTGCTGACAGCTGTTGGCATACGCAGATAGCCTGAGATGTCTATTGAATATATCGAAGCACTCTCATCTGTCAAGGTGCTTGTCAAGGCTGACTATCGGGCTTGATCGACTATACAGCAGCGATGCCTTGCCAAGCGTTGGGCATCGAAATGGCAATGCTGATAATCCCCGAGTAAAGAACGGAATCGAGCCTTATAAACTAGAGGAGCTTGCCGCAGAGCAGAACTGGCTAGTCAGTAGCGGGCGGTTGCAGCTGTTGCTTGGCGAAGCTCTAGACAATTTGGCAAACGTGGTAGAACTTAGCTTGCGGGATGCCAATGCCGCGAGAGGACATTTCCGCCCCGGATTAAGACAGTGGCTTGTCAGCTACGGGACTGCCGAGATTCGCCGGCAGACAGGGGTAGATTTCCTTAGCGACAAGCCGCACCTTCACTCGCAAGATCAATTCGCCGACGTGGTATTCTCGGCTGCTCTGTTGGCCGTCGCGAGGAGCGGAAAGCGGCTGGAGGCCATCAACGTGGACATACAGAAAAAAGACATGGGATTATCTAGCTCAGCTTTTGTGTTCCCGAGGTCTCTTCTCGAATCCCTTAGGCCTACTTTGCAAAGCCTGAGGTCTCTCAACCTCTCCGTGAGCTTCACTTACATATCGCTGGGAAGCTTTGCGCACGGGTCTCTAGCTTTCCTGCAGTGGCAACCCCATTATCTATTCTCGCTGCTCGAGGAGACATCTAACTTGGTTAGTCTTCGGGTGATATCCAAGGGACAAAGCTTCCTGCTAGATGGGGTAATAGAATGGCTTGCTCGACTGATAGACTTGTCGACCGGGAAGCAAGTTGAGAAGGCCAAAGGGTCGCACATGTACGGTGATCTGTCTGCAAGCTTCAATCGCGTGACGCTTTCTCGGGCGTTCCACGATTTACGGGACCTGGAGTTAGGAAATATGACGGCACCGAGCGATTCCCTCTCCAAAATTATTCAGCACCTCGCCGGTTCTCTACGGAAGCTATGCTTGTGCGTGATAGGGGTAACGGTTTTCCCGGGCGACGACGAGCTCGATAATGACCCCGGGAGTGCTAACGCCTGGACATCAATATTCCGAGAGATGTCTACGTATTCTAGCCTGGAGAGCCTGCAGGTTAGCCTTTTGGGCCACCACACCGTGAACTGCACGGGGAATGTTAACAGACACCAAGTCGTCTTCTTGAGATCGGAAGTTGGTGCACAGTCGTCCGAGTCGTCGGATTCGCCTAGTGGATTACTCGACGCTTGGTCATACTCGGGTAACGTCACATCTATGAAAGATTTCTTGCTAGAGCTCTCGGAGAAGACAATTATCATCTGTACTAGATGTAAACAGAGGAACCCGGGATATCATTCCTTTGAAGAAGTCCTCGGGGGGTAGTTGGGAATAAGATGACTCGAATAGTTCTTAAGATGACATAGATGTTAGCTATAATTCATCTAAGATCCAAGCTCGATTAAATCCAGAATAAAGCAGATCAACTCCTATTAGCTATTAGATATTAGCTTATTAGTAGCACTAGTTCATATTGGCGCATGTGCATGATGTATCAACTGACTCGGTCATAACGTCATGTTTCTACACGTAGGAGGTAACAACAAGGCTCTTCTAGGTAGCCACGCTATAAAACGATACCGCTTATTGCAATATCAAATGCTCCGAGAATTTAGTCGACAGATGCTCTTATCAGTTGACAAAGAGAACATAGATGGAATGTCGTGCGACACCCTCAGGCAGTTGTGCTTATCTTTCTCGACAGGACATATCGACGGCCCGGTTACAACGCCTTACTGCAGATCGGCAGGGGTTCAGATAGCTGCTTTTTCCCATTTTTGGTTCTGAGACGTGAATGGCCGCCGATGCAACGGAATCCCACGCCTCTCATCGGCGTGCTCGGTACTAGGAGTGCGTCAACGTGCGTGTGGGGGGATAAGCATAAGACTTCATTTGCCGTGTTATTATATTTTTTGTGTTATAAGTATTTGAAGGTGAGCCCTCCAAACTCGCAGTCGTCTATCCACTATTTCATTCGCTTTCTGAGGGACTTTAAAGCCGTCTATGTAGACAGGTCATCCTAACTGGTATCGGCTTTACTGGTATTGACATCGCGGTAAATCCGACGAGCCCAAGATGGCTCCATCGGCGGCTTCGAACCCCGGAGATTTCGACGAGTCGCTGGTCCCCGGGACGGTCCACCTGGTCGACCTTGAGCACACGATGGCGACGCGACATGCTGAGGACCAGAGGGATATTGTGCTCGTGCCGACCCCGTCCGCAGACCCAAACGACCCGTTGAACTGGGCTCCCCGACGCAAGTACCTAGCCTTAACTTGCGCTCTCCTGTATACCTGGTTTAACGGCATGGCGCTGTCGGTCGTCTATTCAGTACTCGTGCCTCTTTCCACGGCCCTATCCGTAAGCGAGGGGGACCTTAATGCTGGGACGGGCTATATGTTCTTGCTCTTAGGTTGGGGCCTGCTTTTTTGGCAGCCATTTGCGCTGCAGTTTGGAAAGCGGTTGACGTACTTAGTTTCTCTCCTCGCGCTCACGGCCGTCACGGTCTGGGGGCCTTTTGCGCGCGGCAACAGCCAGTGGATCGCGAATCGCGTTCTGACGGGCTTCTTTGCAGTCCCTATCGAGGCTTTGCCTGAAACTAGCATTGCGGACCTCTTTTTCGCCCACGAGAGGGGAACGTATTTGGGTTGGTACGCATTCACGTTGACTGGCAGTAACTTTTTCGCCCCCGTCATCTGTGGCTTCATCAATGACGGGGTTGGCTATCGGTGGGTTTTTTATTTTCAGGCCATCTTTTGCGGCGCCACTTGGCTATTTCTATTCTTCTTCATGGAGGAGACGAATTACGACCGACGTACTATCGGCATCGTCGCCGAGTCTAGCCGTGGAGTACTCGAGCCGAACCCGGATGATGAGAAGAACAAGGAGACCTCGATGGATCCGCCCGGCGCCGTTAGGCGGGTTCCTTCTTCAGAGGGCCAGCCGTCAGCTGAGACGAAGACGTTCTGGCAAAGATTGTCCATCGTGGATCAGCCGCGGCCGTTCATGATGCACTACCGCGCGTGGCAATCTCTCAAACTCTTGTCGTGGCCCGTAGTGTTCTATTCGGGATTCAGCTACGGCACGTACCTCATCTACTTTAATATTCTCAACGCTACGAGTTCTATCATCCTAGGTGGGCCACCTTATAATTTCCGCCCGTCCCTTGTCGGTCTGAGTTATCTCTCCTGCATGGTAGGAGTTTCCGCCGCCGCGGCTTTCACGGGTGTATTTTCGGATCGCTTCATCATTCGATTAGCGCGTAGAAACAACGGTGTTTCGGAGCCTGAGCATCGACTCTGGCTCTTCTCCGTTTCGACGCTGATGATCCCGGCTTCGCTTATCCTCTGGGGTGTCGGGGCCGCCCACCAGGTGCACTGGTTCGGTCTTATCGTCGCCATGTGCACTACAGCGTTCGCCAACACGATGGGCGTTACTCTCAGCGTTTCGTACTTGATCGATACGTATCGAGATATCTCGGGCGATGCGTTGACTACGTGCATTCTCATTCGTAACACGATGAGCTTCGCTATCGGGTATGGAATCACGCCCTGGCTCAACCGCTTAGGATACCAGAATTGTTTCGTCAGCGCAGCTTTCATCGGATTAGCTATCTGCTCCGTCTTCCTAGTGATGGTCAAGTGGGGTAAGAAGTTTAGGGAAACGAAACGCCTCGACTATTGGCGCGAGGTTGAGAAGAGGATCGATCTTGGGCTAGTTCACTAACATATTCCCACCGAGAGCTTCATGTTCTGAATATCAAACTATTATTTATCTTAGATACCTAAGCTACCTACCTACCTAATGTACTATCTGATGCTTAGTATGGTATCAAAGCGTCATTTCTTCTCGCCTACCGAGTTCACTACTGCTACCACAAATCTTTTAATAGGTCGGACGTAACAGGTAGCTAGGTGGTTTCTTGATTTAGGTGCTGTTGGGGCATAGATGATAACGCTTGTATTGCGGAACAGACTAGACTTTATGAGAGGCATTGACTTTCATAAGACATTCCTCTAATCGCTCTAGGTTATCTCTTTGTTTTCTCAACATTATATAGGCTAGATACTCGAATTTCTCAGCGCCATCCTAGGAGACAAGCATACGACTAATGACTAATTCCTCTCATAATATTCCATAACTATTCAAAGTGCTGCATTATGTACAAGTAGGAGCATGAACTCTGCAGTCCGGAGACGCTTCGTCATACGTGCTACATTGGTATCGTCGATCTATCGCAATCTTGACTGTCAGGCTATCCTGTCCCACCACGCAGAACGATGATCATAACATTAGAAAAGAGCGAAACAGAAGCGCTGGCATGATCCGTTCGGTTCGCTTACGTATGTACTCGTTGCAAATAAAGTCCCTCGCTCGTAGCCCACATAAGCCTCAATATCTACTACATTACAAATCGATTTCCTCGGTCATAGCTTCGGTCACAACTTCAGCCGCCGTTGGCTCCTCTAACCCTGATGGCATGACTGGGGTTAGATCATCGAGGAGAGCATCATCCGTAGCAACGGATGGTGTAGCCTCAGCTGAAACGTCAGTAGCAGACATCTTGACAGTTTCAGTAGCCGTCTCCAGCTCCGTCTCTGTGACTGTGTGGAAGACTCGAACCACTTTCTTCTCCGTTACAGTTTCGGTCTGCTCCGACTTAAGTGCCATATATATAAACTGGTCGTAGGCGCCTGCAAATGTGCTGCACGGCTCATAGACAGTGGATATGCTTGTCGCCGTCGCCGTGCTGTCATGGGCTGTCGTGGGCTTAATTGCAACTTCTAAAGCTTCTTCGTAAATGGCCGCGACTGGTTCGGCTTCGCTTTGAGTTGTCTCTTGCTGAGGCTCTTCGGCCACGGATGACTCCTGGTAATCCACAGGAGCCGCTGCAGGCTCGCTGGCGGATATGTCCTGCTGCGATACGGCTTCCAGGTCGCCTTGATAGTCCATCTCGGCCACCGTAGGCTCAGTCTGCGTCGTATAATGAGTAGACGTCGCGCTAGTAAGCTCTTCGGAGATGATAGGTTTCAATTCGGATTCGTATTGCTCCTTTTCTATCGATGCTGCCTCTATGGGGGATTCAGCAACCTGTGTATCTTGGTGCTGAACTGCTCCCAGTGGCTCTTGGTCGGGTATGACCGCTACAAGATCGGCTAACGGCGCATGCTGTTGAGGCGTCGTCGAAGGCTCGCCGCAAATTGATGGCGCAGCTAACGATTCTGTCGTCGGGAAATTTGCCTGGATTGTAGGAACCTGAGGTATATCGACGGCCTGGGCGCGGCGCACGATTGGGACGTCTCTCATCCGGTGGATCACTGGCTCGTAGACGGGCTCGGCCGGAGTGGGAGCGTTCCGGAAGGCAAGCATAAGCACAAAAATGCTGAGGGTGACGATGACAACATTCCTGCGGTCTTGTATTAAAACCCTCATAGACTGAAGTAAAAGCTCAGGGAGCGACGCGTTCTGGTAGGCAGCCTGATGAGGTTTCTTTTGTTTATAGGCTTCATCGGACGTAGGCGGCGGTGGTACATGCGACGACCCCTTGTCCTGGCCTGGATGGACCGACGGCTCCCGAGGTTGCGGTGGCGGCGAATGCCCATATATCTCGCGAAGCCGTTCTTCATCTCGCCGGAGCCGCTCCTCCGCAGAAATAGGTGTGCCAACACGCGACGGCTCTGGCTGGGGCGAGGAGGCCCCGAATTGGGAGCCCAAATCGGCCCGTTCCCTCTGATGCTGTGTAGTCTCTTTTTCAATATCTGCCTCTTGGCGAGTCGCGGCGAGATGGACTAACTCCTCTTGCAAAGCAGGTTCTACGATGGGTTCCAGTTCAACGTCTACGCGCTCCATCTCTTTCCAGCAGGCTTCCCAGGCGCCAGCCCTCATCAGCCCGTTGCTGGCGTAGACCTTGACCCGAAAGATCTTACCCGACCCGAGAGAGTCGCCGCGAATTTCGCTTTTGCAAGTGTCACACCAGTGCCGCTTATCCCCAGCACGAGATCGTTGGGAACTCCACTCATCTTCGCTCTCCTCGTCTTCGGTCAGGGTTGACTCGTTGGCAGGGCCGAGGTAATGACCGCATTCCAAGATCCGAGCTCGTCGGCGGAACGGCAACTCTAGCGCTTCGAGCAGGCGCTCCTCGAGAACCTCATAGTCATTCTGAGGATGGCCTAGCAGTATACCTCTCTCGATAACGGTGTCGCCAATTCGGTCTTGCAGGAGCCTCCACGATTCTTGGAGGGTTTTTACCTGCTCGCTCACGTCGTCCATATCGAGATTGTTAAGTAGATTGCCCCATGCCCACCTTAACGGTAACAATGTGACGTGGAGTAGGACGAGAGGTGCCTCCTTGCGTCCCTTAAAACGTGGCGGGGTGGACATCCTCTTCGGGGAATACTGCGCGGAGGCTGTGGGCGTCCCTAGGCGAGACACCGTAGGGAATTGCCTCTTTGTAGACCGAGGAGACCCGAGGACCGAAGATGGCGGTGAGGACATATGCATGGCTCGCACATCCGATGGGGTCCGAAACGGTGGGCGCGGTGTTCCTCTAACGGTAGGAATGAAATCCCCCTTCTCATATTCCCGCTCGTATTGTGAAATATCCGAAACTCGAGGTGACCGAGTCGCCGTTGTCATATTGTCAAAGTCCTTGTGTGCCTTGTCGGACTCAGAAACGGCATCGTACGACCCTAGAGAGCTTCGTGGGCTCTTGTCGCTAAACACATCTTCGTCCGTGGCTTCGTGATGAGAACTAGTATCACCGCCATCATCGGCATGAATGTGAGAATCTGCAAACTCGGGGTCTCCAAGATACGAATCATCTGTTTGGGCTGGATCATGGGTATCATCGTCATCTGTCTGGTCGCTCAATATTGAACCGTCTTCCACATCCTCGTGCTTGTCCTCGCTTTCAAATTCACCCCGTTCAGATCCTTCAGCCCTGTCGAGATATTCCTCATCCATCTCGCTGTGGTCGGACTCTACGCTGGGTCGGACTTCCGTTTCTCTGTTATTACTGGTCATCTCCGTCCCATTCCCTGCCTCGTCAGCAGTAATAGACTCCTCGTGCTGGGTAGAAGTGTTTTGTTTGCTGTTTGTTTTTAGTTCTTGAGGATGCTCCTCATATATCGGTGTGCTCAGACAAGACGGATCGACGTAGATCTCGAAGTTGTGATTTGTTTTTTGTCGAGGCATTCAAAATGAGAGAAAGAATAAGGAATAGCACCTAGGGTTCTTAATTAAAGAATGTACCCTCCGGAGCTGCTGGGTCCTTTGAGTTTGTTTTGATGCGTACGTTGCGTTGGCAGTATATTAGATCGGCAGGTCTAAATGTCAAAATGAACGAAATGGTTGGGCGAGATTGAAAAGAATGCGGGTCACTGAGTGTCGGTTCTTACGTTGTTTACATGCGTTGCCAGGTCAACGCTAACCATTCAACCCTGGTAATCCATTTCCTTGTCCAATGACGAACCAGATCACAATCTAGCACGGATGATCTTCAATAAAGGGAATTTTATCAATCGTTACGATACCTAGGTATGATCATGGAAAAGGATATGAGACTCTTGTAGATGAGTAGGTGTGTATCAGAAAATGTTTACCTCCTTAAGTGCAAATCGAAGGTGTCTAATCTACCTAACCTAGGAGGTAACTTCTAAATTGTAGCATCCACCCCATCCTATTCATATGCAATCGAAGTTATAATAATAGTAGTTAGCGTTGCTGTAGGTGATATTTGCGATATTTGCGATATTTGCGATGTAAGGACAAGATGGAGTCTCCAGTATGTGTTTACGGAATAAGCAAGGGTCGATATACCTACCTAGCTTTTGGGTCTTGCGAGAACTTGCTAAATTTGACGTGAATCGGATAGATCTTTTCTTCCTTTTCTTTTTTTGTCGTTATGGCAATAAAGGCCACAATCACTAGACTGTCTTTAGGATGGTTTGGTTCTGTACTAAGCTAACTATATCTTCTGCGCAAGATCATGGATTAGCCCTTTTTGTATGACCCTAATATTGCAGCCGAATGACTCGAGGCTAATCAATTGCATTGTTGCAAGCGTTAAATTCACGCTGGAAGATGCTAGTATAGAATAGAATTCTGCCTACTAAACTTACGATTGAAGAGAAGATCGAAAGTATTCAAGAGTTCACGATATCAAGAGCATAGTAACCAATTATAGGGACTAAATTGTTAAGTAAACGTTTCCCTAGTTGTAAGAATAAAAGAGTGAATAGAGTTAACCGTGCTTATAGGTAGTGCGTTGCCTTAGGTTACTTGATGGAAGGCAACGGCAGAGCTTATACAGGTGAACTACTAGGACAACAAATAGGGCAACTAACACATGCATAAGTAAGAGGCTCTCTACCATCCATTTGACTAAGTAGCTACCAAATATATTCCAAGTATGATATGTAATGCCTCGAACGTTAACTACTCTTCCTCAGATTCTCTACTCCATTTGTCGGCTACGTCCTTTATCTCGATCAATAGCTGCTCCTTTCTCTCCTCAGTACACCAGCTGCCTAACACGGCGCCCTTCGCAATCGCCTCCCATTCCCTGATGCTCAAGTCGAATGCGTCCTGTAGGGCGCAGTAATTCTCGAGTATGTATCCCCCAAAATAAGCCGGATCGTCACTGTTAATACTAAACCTAATACCGGCATTTATCAGCCTTCTCAGGGGAAACGAATCTATCGAATCGATGCAGTTTAACCTAACATTCGACAGAGGACACAGGGTCAGCAGGGTCTTAGAGGAGGCAAGACGTGCGACCAATGCATCGTCACCTTCCGTTAAGGCACGGACGCCGTGGTCTATACGTTCTACGTTTAGTAGGTCGAGGGCTTGAACGACGTAGAGTGGCGGGCCCTCCTCCCCGGCATGGATTGTCCTTCGAATTTCTGATTCTTTCGCGACGTCGTAAAGATCCTTCCATAGGGGTGGTGGAAACGGTGCCTCAGAAGAGTCCATACCGACAGCAGCGAGAGTACCGTTAGCATAGTAACCTCGGTCTCTCGCTTGCGAAAACATCTCCATAGCCTCGCAAAGGGGTAGATGCCGCAGCAGACACATAATCAGCTGTGTGGTCATGCCGAAGTCAACCGCTGCTCTCTCTTGAGCTCGACTGAAACTCTCCACGATTGTCGAGAGTTCTACGCCACGACTTGCATGAGCTTGCGGGTCGAAGAAAACTTCCGCGTGACGGACATTTTGGGATGCGGCTTTGGCAAAGTAGGCGTACGCCAGAGCCTCAAAGTCAGCCTCATCTATTAGGACTGACATGCCGATATAGTAGTAGCTAAGAAAATCATCCAGGTTCTGGAAATTCTCGTAGCGCTTGCGGAGGCATTCTGCGGAGGCGAAGGCCGGATCGGAGGAGGGAAGAGTTATGTTATTCTTTGCTGCTAATTCAAACAGGAGTTCCGGCTCGAGAGAACCCTCGAGGTGCATATGGTGTTCGGCTTTGGGTAGAGCCGCAAGAAACGCGTGTAGAGACGTATTACACATAGTTGACGGGATTAAAACTTTTTATACTTGGAATAATTAGGGATATCTTCATCTGTAGGCTGTTTTGGGGTTTGAGATGTTGCCCGGACTGTTCACGGTTTGTGTGAGAATCCCTAGAAAATTCTTAATATCCTTAGTTCGATAAAACATGACCTATACCTAATACAATAGTATAATACATAGCATAGTGCCTATGGCACAAATAGCTAGCGGCAAGCCGAAGCTAGGTTACCTAGGTAGGTAGGTACTATAGGCCGCGATAAGGACCTACGTATGCAAATAATCTAGATAGCTGTCGGCGCATTTAGACAAATGTAAATGGTGGCTTGAAATAGGTTATCGATTCAGCAACTACAGACAAATATAAGTGTTACAATGTTGAGAACCTACCAACCCGAGAACAACTGCCCAGAGAAAATACTAAATACCTACCTACCTTATAGTGATAAATACATGACTACCTGCGCCGTCGATCAGGACAAGGTAAAAACTGGATCCTAACCGGGACGAGCTAGAAAATCGCAGCAAACCGCGATGACAAGCAGGAGATCAGCGGTTATAAATTACCTCTTATAATAGCACTGCTATACCCGCACTGCCGCTTTCGGCTTCCAGGGTTTGGATCTTAGCTGCAATTCCTAGGATAGCCCTGGCTTGGTGATAGCGACTTATAAGCATCTATGTATTCGGTCGTTACATACTGCAAGGGGAACGCCGGCTATTGAGCTCGCGTCAGGTACTGAGGTGTTGCTATACTGAGGATCCCGAACTCCGTTATGCATTGCGCATTTCCGACCCGTCTGAAGGCTTCCGGACCCCCTCTTCCTCACACCCGGCCTCGCGGGCTTGCTTATCTTGCAAAAACAGCCAGACCAATTACGGTAGGTTAGACATAGGCACGTAGTAAAAGGGGTCACCGAATCTATTAAAGGGCGGAAGCAAGCGAAGGGAGACGCGGTGCCAAGGTTCCTCCACCTACAGTATGTAGCTTCCATAACCCTTGAACGACCTGGAAATCTGCCCATTCGATCAGTCGGTACGGGCAGGTGTGCTCTCGGAACCAAGTACGTTGTCAGTGTTCGAAGTACGTGTTATGAAAAATCCGACGAAGGCGTGACTACTACGAGAACCGTAGCGAATCGGTTTTCTCCAAGATGCTACGAGAAATCCTAAAATAGAAGTGCAGTACGCTCTTCTGAGCGGCGGTGAGTAAAAGTATTTAATTCTATTTCTTATCATCAGCCCATGTCAGATGTGGCGCCCATGCTCCCTGTTTGATGGGCGAGAGGGATTCTCCTGCAAGAACGCATCAAAAATCAACCTCGAAGAACTTCCCCCTTTCCTTAATCCTTAACTTAGGTACCTATTGTTTTCTAATCGACTATCTATATCGGGATCCGTATCCCGGGTGCCGTAAAAGAAAAAGAAAGTAAACCTCGTAGCACGCCTACGCCGCTCGCCTACTTGTGCATATCAAGCGGTCCTCTCGAGCAGAATCCTGACACACGTGCGCTCCTCAGCCGCAACAGTCGCAAAAAGTGAAGAAGATAAAAGATAAAACCAATAAACGCAGTAGTAAGTACCTAATGCGGGCTGAATCCTATAGCTACGATTCTTCCTTTTTCTTCTTCCTTTTCTTTTTGGGTTCCCGAATCTCTAGAGTTACAAACGGTCTATTTTACTACTTACCTGCGGTAGGCAAGTAATCCCATCCAACACTCTACGTTGGTCACTTTAGTCTGTAGCTGAGTCCGGGGACGCCCTGAATCGGAGTCTCTAGCTCTGGAGAGAGAAAAGAGAAGACGATATTGTTGGATAGTTAGTCGTTGTGATGGTGATACAAGGTCGTTCGTTTCACTGCATGTCATGTCTTGGTCTGTACGACTTCCATCTCCGAGACCATATGTCGTCTCGCGTAGCTTGCACGCATGGGGCGAACGGCCTTGGTATCACTTCGACGTATGCACTTGTGAAAGCATCCAGCTCGGTTGCGTACAGCGCCAATTGGTGGGCAAGTTGAAGTCCACTATCGAGACGCTTTCTCTTTCTCTCTCTCTCTCTCTCTCTCTCTCTCTCTTTCTCTTTCTCTGTCGGCGTAAATTACATCCTTTCTCCCCAGGCCGTGCCGGTGCGGGGGTGAGTCATTTGAAGTGCCGCGGTGGTATTTGATTCTCTTGGCTGGCCTGGTGATGATTCGGGGTTCTCGTCTTGCTCTCCCTAGACGGGTGCTCACGTTCTTTTTGATACCTGATACCTGATACCATACATAGTACATAATATATGATATATGTACACGCTCTCCTGGCGGGGGACGAGGATCTCCGTCTAAGTCTTTATGCTTTATGCTTTATGCTTTATGCTTTATGCTTGCGTGCTAGACTGCTAGTTTAGTGTATTAGACTTGTGATGCGTTACACGGGCGACATGTTTTCTACGTCGCACGGGATGGGATGCTACTTCAGGAAACGGCCAGAGGAGGGATTCTGGCCCTCACCCCCTCTCCGTCCGCGGACACTCCACCTCGTAGGAGCGCAGCGGCAGGGTACGACGAATCGGGGTAACGACAGAAGGCAAAGTAGACAAATATTCTACTGGGGATGAAGTGGTACGCGAGGGCTATTGTATGCATGCGCATACGCATACGCATATAGAATGTCCAGTAGGCAGCTCAGGAGACGCGTCCGTTCCCAACCTATCGCTACGGTACTTCCACTCCTCGAATCTCCCACGGGAGCCTCAGCTGTCGAAAGAGGCAACGTCCGTGTTTCGAGTGAGTGCGGAGCCGATCTTGTCGTGGATTCGTCCCGTTCGTCCCGCGAGGTCGGCAATCGGCCGCTACCCAACTGGCACGCGGTCTCTTGGCTCCATTGGGTAAGTTTCCCCGTACGTCCTTATACTTACCACCATGCCGACTCGGTACCAGAGTTACCGTCCGTGCATGTTGAGGGGAAATGCCGACACCAACTGGAATCTTGCTCGACGGAACATATGCCTATGTATGTACCGTATGTTATGTAGGTCTAGCAAGGCAATACTTACGTAGCTGGCTTCGATAGAACTCGATCGTCTATAACATTTCGTCTATCTACCTAGGTAACTACCTGATTTGAGGTATCTGTCAGATTTGGTCCATTTACGAGCGAGCTGAAGCTTGGGTTTCTAAATTTTCTATGCCCGTGATTCTGTATACTTGGTCAACTAATTTTGTATTTGGCTAATTAGCCGCTTAGCTCATAACCGTTGTCGTCGGCGGGCATGAATCCTTGGGACCGGTAATGCCGGTGACGTGTTCATTCGCGGGGGTATAGTTTATCTTGGAATCCACTTCGCTTTAGGAGAGACGGAATATACTTGACATTAGTAGCAATGGTAATTTACTAGGTCAGAGGTCTTCGATTTATCCGGTGGGCTACATTCTACGTCGATGTTGGTCGTTTCACAATGTATTTGCATTTTCGCTCTTAGACCAAAACATGGAATAGGGAGGACACGGCTTGCTGCGGTATCGTGGCTTTTGGCTTTTGGCTTTCGGCTTTGGCTTTTGATCCTCCTGGTTTTTACCTCGAAACCCCTGTCTCGTTCACTTGTAGGACAGCCCGAACATTACCTTTATCTCATGCGGCTCGTAAATACAGATCGTCTCGGCGCAGCTAACGTACTGCTCGCCGGCGACCCTGCAGGCCAAGTCGCGTGCGGTCCCGGAACGTGGAAGCATTCCAGACCAATATTGGAGGTGGGTAGATGCAGGTATGATGCAAATGGCCGTTGAAAGGGTCTTTCTAGATTCTTTAGAGGTACATAGATGTCGACGAAGCGCTGGTATCCCCTGACTGATGGTCCAGGGTTCTCGTTAACATATACATACAGATCCCAACATTCGGCTATCCGGTTCCCGGCATATAAGAACCGGGGAGAAGGTCCATGTGCGACGATGATGAAACGGATCAGTCGTGGCCTATCACCTTTCAAGACGGGTCTGGCCGTTGGTATGTTAATCTGAACTTGTACGAAGCATTTGAAAATACATAGTCGTCGCTGGCTCGGTTTCTTTCGTCGAAATAGTTTGATATACTTGACTATCTGTAGTAAGACTTGTTCCATCCGTGGGGATAGACGCGTGTACAAGTGCCTGGTGTTCGAAACGTCCGGAGAGAGCCGATAAGTGATGGACGCGCCAGTCGCACGCGATTCCAAGGATGGAGGACGCTAGATATGTTAGCTCTTCTACGAGCTCTATAGGTACTATATGTGCTAAGTAGTACGCATAGGCGACTGCAGTAATCAATGTGATGCAGATTTAGCCTATGTACCTAAGGTAGTAAAAGGGGGGGATCCGTCTTTACGGCGAGCTACAGAATGCCGGCTTAGAAAATCTAGATTAGATCGCAGGGTGAATATCCGCTAGCTTAGATAACAGTAGACGCCCCGATCTATCTTACCTCTTCAGCTCCACCGTCTTTCTAAATACAGTCTAAATACAGTCTTAGCTAACAAGCAGCGAAGTTGGTGAGTAAGAGAGCAATATTCATCTGACCGATGTTAGGCCTTCTAATCCTCCTCTATCATGGGCTGTTAAATTTGTATGAGTGCCATTATTGATTCACACAGTACGCTCCTTGTATCGTAGTTGCGCAGGAATAGCTTCAATCTCCGACTAGTTTTATTATTAGCTAGGTTAGGTACTTACCTAGGTACCTAGGTAGGTAGGTAGGTCAGTTAGGTACTAACCTAGGAAGTAAAGATAAAGCTTACGTAAATATATTCACGGAAAGTGAGACATCATGCAAGCCGTAGGCATACGTTTCCTGTCTTATTGTAATAGATAAATTAAATATTAATTAAGGAACATTTCTAGAAGACCGAGTTGGCTTTACATAATATGATCAACGTTGCTTTGTTATAGTACATAGCACACATAATACTTAATGAAACCCAGTCGGATACCTTCCGCGCCGTCCCTGGGTTAGTATGTACGCCGTACAAAGTGAGCTTCTATTACTGTCGATTCGCTCGATGCAGTAACACTTACACTGCGTAACATGCGTCCTAGTTACTTTATATTTACTACCTACCTCCTCTTATTAGAAATTACCTACAGACTCGTTGTTTTTAGAAAGTTACTGCTCACAATTTTACTAATTAAAATTTTACCTGATGCATATTTTCTGCATTATGTACCTACCTATATCAGGAGTCTTTATGTATATAACATGACATGGATTTCGATTTTGCCGTAACAAACAACGAGTGCGGCGCAAGCATGAAACCGACAGCCTTAGAAATCGGTCATAATCCCTCCCGTTTTAATGGAAGCCAAGATATCTTCCCATGCCCGTGGCTCTCTCCTGGAAATATTCCCCGATACACCCACACCCTCCGTATCTCGACGACTGCCCTTCAGGTAGGTTGAAATCGTGCCAATAAGACACGGCACTGTCCTTATGTACAGTATATACCTACCTAATCATATTCGATACCCGGGACCGTCGAACCAGCAAGCTAGTTGCTTGTAAGCATGCCTAGGTACCTAGTAATCAGGATCCGTAACTCGGTGAAATGAGCGTTGCTTTATCCCTGTGATTTGGCTTTAAGAACTTTCTATCCTCCTAAAAGCCTCAAATCCCCTGACGATCTCGATATTTACCATGCAGCTATCTGCCGATTTTGGGTTGAATTCAGCCCCATTGGAACCATTTCTACTACCTACCTATGTACCTACATAATATAGCTCGACCAGCGTTAGTGCGCGCGAGTTTGCCCAGTGGGATCATTCGCGATCAAGCCCGCAAACAGCATGCTTCTCATTCCAAGGATATATGTATGCTCTAACTAGCTCTTTAGTAGAGTTCCGGTTATGAGCTGACAGATAACGTGGGATAGCGTCCCAGATCTTCATGATCTGATTGACGTGCTTATGGTTGTATGGTTGTGCTGTTATTATATGATTTTCGAAGATCCTCCCAGCCATCCGTAAGTTTCGCACCTTAATACAACTTCATATCCTTGTCCCCTTGTTTTAGCTTGACGACTGGTTGCTACCTATCCGCGTGGCCTTTATCCATGATCCATCCGCTACTCTCGCCCTTGCTCGAAGCGGGTTTCGGTGAAGATGTTTTGGATAGCCTTCTCCTTTTGTACAGAGATATGATTAAAATTTCAAACTTCCCTGCGAACCATGGCGAACTCAACCCTTATTCGGATGTTTTCTTCATGGATCGTTTGCTAGTATATTTAAATGCCAGGCCCATGTATGAGGCTACCGAGCAGACACTAATAATAGCGAAGCAGATGGCTTGTGATTCCGAGATGGGGCGTGTAAGACAATGTCAGACAATGTCTTGCCTTATCAATGCTAGTTTGTTTACGTAGTTGACTTATATAATTGCAATTACCTTAGGTAGTTATAATCGCTTACAGTAGTTTTATATAAACACTGTGGTCGAACCCAACCACGAATGCACATTTACGCTGTTCATGCTGTCATTATCGGCCGGGGCCAGTGCTCTAAGATGGGCTTTCAATAACCATTCACCAACTTCCATATCTTCAATCTTGTTCTATGCTACGACGCAGCCGCTACAAAGTGTATGTACGGCATCTCATGCCTTCAAGTGGCACGGTTCTCAGTTAGGAAACCCGGTAGGTAGAACGAGTTATTAAGTAGCAAGGTGCAGGGTCGTTTCGGCAATATACTTCCATACGGCTGTAAGTAGATACATGGTATGTAGCGAGAGGAGTCCCATGCCGTCGCCGAGTATCTACCTATGTAGGTAGGTACTTTTGTTATAAAGAATCAGATGCGGCGCATTATCCACCCCTTCGTCGATTGGAACTGGATTTGTACCTTAGGGTAGGTAAGAACGGAAAATTCCATTATCGCCCTTGCCTGTTCGGAATCGTTCTCTCGTCGCGGACTGGGCGGGCTCCAAAGCTAGCATACTGATATGCAGGCTACGGATTGGTAGTGTGATCTCTTTGCGGCACCTTGCATGTTCCCCATGCCCTTTTCAACCCCAGCCAGATTACTACAGTTGAGGCCGAAGGGGTATTCCCATGCAAAGCGTTAGGGCTATCACCAGGACAAAACGTGCCTTGAAAATGACCAGATCGTCCCGGGATCACTAACTTAGTCGAGAAAGATTGAGGGGCAGGCTAGTAATAGCTGGGGGTCTTCTTCTTCTTTTGTCCTCGGCATGGGACCTCCCATAAAACGCCACATGTTTTGAGCGATGCCACGAGCCTGTGGCACGCTCGACTGCCTGCCCGCTGGGTCTCCCCGAAGGATGAAAGAGTAAAGACGACAAGCGAACACCATCTCCAGGATGAAGGTATCGGAATCCCCAGCGCGCGACACATGGGTGCCAATGCCTCGGAGTTTATTAGTTTTAGCTTAACCAAGCGATCAGGTTACATCGGCATGAGCACGGAGAGCATTCGATCTTTGGTACGTTTCAAGCTAGCTGTCGTTAGTGACCATATTCAACCCTGTCGTGAGCCGTTGTCCACCAGTGGGACGCTCCTCTTTTCATATGCCAGGTTTTATTAAAAAGCGATCGGGTCACGGGCTCACAGACGATTGTCTACATAACTACCCTACATACCTACCTACATACATACCTACATATAGTACATACGGTAGGTACGTACATACATGACTTGGTCCTAGCCATGCTTGTCAAAGGCTGCTAAAACAACGGACCGGCCACTGCCGCTTACCAGGGAAACCCCCTACACGTAGCATAAGTATTATTGTTTCCCTTCGCACCACCTCTTGCTAACAGACACCTAGCGTGTCGCCAAGTTGAGCAGCTGAAGGGCTGGGGGGACTACGGCGAATGGACCGGGCGGAAAGGTAGCGATAGGGACGAAGCGTATGTAATGAGGCGCGGGAAAAGGAGGAATGCGAAAAGGGCTTCTATGTACACTTGATTCCTGGGTTCCGAATGCACATCATGCAACCCGAACGGGCCTGGTCAAACCTGGACACAGCCGAGGGGAGTGCCGACTCGCCAGCCAGTCCTACCTAAGATATCCCACGCTAAAACAATGTGCAGCTACTAGGTACGGTACAGCTTTCCAGTGTGGAGGTTGCATAATCCAGGATTCCTACTTGGCTAGCCGAACATCAGGATACCTACCGTAGGGAGGGTAGGTTAGAATTGTCGCATGAATGTACTTGGATACGCTATAGTTCATATATAGCATCAAGCTGGGGGAAAGGAGGGTTCCTCTGGCAAGCCATTGGCCTCTGCAAGCCAAAATGGACATCCTCCCTGCTAGGCGCATTCGCCGAGTTTAAAGCGCTACGGTACATGCCTACACATACACATACATGCTCGAGGGACCGGGTAGTAATAGTAGATAGACATTAGTTGAATATATGCCAGAGTAGAACCGCGGGCCTCCTCACATATTATATGTACAGACATACAGACATCCATCCATCCATACAGCCACCCATACAGCCACCCATATAGATATACATATAGATATACATACATGGAACCTCTATTAAGCTATTTTGGAGCGGTTGCCCGATTCGCCATCGCGGCTTGCCCCCCTTGATCTGGCAAGGTCCTAGGGTTTTACCACAGTACGGCGACCTGTGCTTATATTAGGGTCAGGCTAGGGCCCAGGCCGGCGGCCCACCTACATACACAGCTCGAAACGCCGTAGCTAGCTTCTTTTTCTCTGTTGTCGACGAGCCATCGCCCAAGGTCCTGCTTTAACTGCCTTCCTTGTACTATTTGCAGGGGTCAGGAGTAGAAGGATTTAGTTCGACCCCTCCAGATTATATATTCCCGATTTTTGCTTTGGCGTCGGGCTAGGGCGGGAGAACCAGATGGATATACACCTGCGAACTAGCAGCAGTAGTAGCCTGTCTATCGACAGATTTGCCATCGTCCTTCTCCTCAAATCACTGCCCTTTCCAGAACTTGCTGCTTTCTTTTCCCGTCACCGGCTATCCTCGAACGTGAGGCAGCTCATTTGCCAGACCCATCGTCGTCACCCC